TTTCCACTTGAAGATGGGAGAGCTTTAGAAGGACAAGAGAGGTGTTTCAGTTTTGTTTTGTAGCCGCAGATGGGCAAGATCAGGCTCCACATGTCCCACTGACACTAGGCCATGCATAGATGAAGCATCCTAATGTGCTAAGCATTGTCACTGACCCTGCACTCATCGCCTTCTTGGTTGCCTGCTGCCGTGAGGTTCGAAGGCAATGGAGTCAATGGCGTGACTTCGATGAAATAGGAGTACTTTCAAACTGAGCTTTAAGGCTTTTAAGTATACCGGATGGGCCGGGGAGAGTCGATACCAATCATCATGTCAAGGCCGAAGTCGGCGGCTTTTAGAGCTCTCGACCCCCAGCCATGTGACGTGTTGCGGAGAAAATCCCGCCTACCAGATACATGCGGTCTCAGCGTTTCATGGCAGTAAACTACTTCCGCTCCTTCAAAGATTGGACATGTACCACGAGGAGCGCAGTATGGTAGATCAAAGCTGGACAAGTGTGAAGACGCCTAAGCATCTCACCCTTTGGCAGCAGGCTATTTCAGTGAAAAGAAAGATGTGACACATATATGCATACCAGGACCCTCCAAGGGGTGCCCTGTCTGGAAGCCTATAGGTAGTGTGAGGTAGTCCATTGGACACCCCTTGGAGGGTCCAGGTACGAGTGTTCGTACGTTAATGCTATAAGTTATTTATATAATATATCACACTAGGCTACAACAGTGTAAAGGAGTCACGTCAGGCAAGTGAGCCAGATAGTTTAGTGTTGGTAGCTCGGGCCTTTGTTCACGAGTGAGAAGTCATCCTCCAAGTGATACTGTTGATGGACAAAATCCTGCACCACTTCGCGCACGGTTTTCTTGCTGCCCTCATTCTCCCTCGTTAACATTGGGGCCACCACAGTGAGAATATAAAAGCAAGTTGAAGGTCCAAAATCCTGCACCACCTCCTCAGAGTGGTCGCGCCAACATTGAATGAGGGGGCGCGGAGGTTGCTATGCGACCCTTCCACGGTAAAGTGGTGAGGTGGTGCAGGATTTCGTCCATCAACAGTACCTCAGATGGTCTCCTTCTTCTTCCACATGTGCGACTACCTCGAGTACAAGGTCACCAGCCGCAACATAGGACCGGCTGAGCCTCCCACGGTCCAGATTGTTTGTTAGCGCGGAGCATCCTGGGAATCCTGAGTGTTTCAGGTTTGGCCAGTTAGCCAAGATGAGCTTGGAAAAAGAGATTGGTTTTGCACCTGGGGGAACATCATAGTTTTCCCCTGTCATGTTGAACTCGTGGTTTTCCCACATCAACTGGCACTGAGATTTTACCGATCTTATTCCCTTGTGTGTTGTAGAAGTTTGTTTCGGGAGAGCTTTCGGACATTGTGACATTGTTTGATATTGTTTGATTGTTGAAATGCAGTGCGCCTCTCCCCTAGGCAGGCTTGTTGGCGGAAACAGCCAGTGTTAACCAGTGAAGTTGCAAAAGCAGAGATGTACTCATTCATATGTGCCCACACATCCACGATGCACATTCAAGTGAAAGACGGAAAGAAGTGGAATGCCTGTGTACACCAATCGCAGACATCCGCAGCTGAAGCAAGTGCAGCCATGCCTGCGAGGACCCTTGGGCACTTCAAAGTACACCGACCGAGCTCCTCTTCTCATTCAGCTTCCAGTGTCAATGGACAAGCAGGACCCTGATGTCTTTTCTCCAAGTTCGTAATCCAAGTGCATTTAGACTGCACAAAGAACGTCTCCAAGTTCACGACCGATTTGCATTTGATTGCGCAAGTGTACGATTCATCAGCAAAAACAACGCGCTGAGCCAGATGGTGTGAATCGCATGATGGGATTCAAGTATATAATCATTTTGTGTTTCCGCATGTGCATTTCCTTCATGCACACCTGCTCGGCCCCCGCCTGGAACGTGTTTTCCTTTGCAGAGCTCGCCCCATTCCCGTTTCCGACACGAAGCAGGAATGTCCCTTGATGTGCAACATCACGTCAGGTGGGATGCTCGCTCCGTCGGACCACGGGACGTCGTCCGACCGTGTTTGGGTCCAACGGAGACGATGATTTGACGGGTCTCCCCCTGGACCAATTAGCTGCCTTCTCACCCTGGATTGAGAAACGTGATTTGGGGAACGCACCAGCCCGGACAACACCAGCCATCGATCTGTTGTGCAATACATGTCCCATAAAGGCATCTCCATTGAGATGGCTAATGACAGAGCCCGTTGGACAGCGCTCACAGATGATTGGCTCCAACACCATGGCCTTAATACCAAGCGCGCCCACATGAATATATTCCTTGCTTCAGCTGATTCGTACTTGTGGCATAGATGCTGTTGCAGGGTTCGTTTCACGGGCAGCAAGTGGTTTTTGGGTGAATTGCTCCGAGGGACCTTCGAACTGGACCGTGTGCTGGGCTGGAGGATCTACCCAACGACCTGGGTCACCGGATGGATCCGACCGACCTTTCATCTTCGCATGTTCATTGATTCTACCACAGAAGATCCTGCACGTTCGCTAAGCTAGCTTCATGCATTTTTTGGATGCACTTCCTGTGTATGCTGACGGTTGTTTCCACGCCAAAGTTGTAGTACACGTGGAAGTATCTTCTCTACCTGTAAAGTGGTTCCACCGGATGAAGCTGCTAGCCGATGAGCTGGGCGGTTGAGATGGCTGGGCCACAGTTTCGCCTTCAGCCTATCTGAACTTTGCAGATGGCGATGGAGAGAGAGAGAGAGGGTGCATTTTGGAGTGTATGTTCTTTGTTTTTGTTGTAGAGCGATTTGGTGTAGCTATAACTGCTGTATGTGTTTTGTCCTATTATTAGCGGCGTTTGGGTATTCTTCCGTGTTTGTGGGGCCACTGATTAGCTGCAAAGGGTCTATATCACAGCAGGCTTTGGGGATCTTCAATGGACCAAAGTTCTTCACAACCCTGTTTTGTGAGCAACTCCTGGACTTGGGGATTGAAAGGGGTTGAAAGGAAAGGAATCACCTGAAAGTTGAAAGGATGGGTGAACAGGAGCCACCCGGAAGTTCCTAAACAAGATTGTCTCGACATCGGATTTCGGGTGTTCTCTTCGGGATCCTTCAACCGTATCACTTCGTTGTTTCGATGCTTCTCTCGATGATGTGACTGGTGCAGGTGCCAGCCAAACTGTGCTGCCTTACCGAGCGATGACGAGCACAGGCGCGGTAGACCGACCGAGGTGCTGAGCACCAGCCCTACTGGGGGGCTACGCTGGGAAGAGCTGGCACAGGAAGAAGCTGTGACCCTCGCAAAAAAAAACCGTTCTGACCCACCCCAGACCATCCATGGGAGTGGAATACAGTAGTTACATATACCGTATACCATTTACCCCATTGAACCTTAAGAGAAAGATAAAGTGACTCTTCCACTCCCATGGATGGTCTGACCCACTGACCACCAATCCACCTTCAGTCGAAAGTAAGGGCAGTGGCACAAACGGATTTGGAACTCGTAGAACTCATGCATTTTGATGCTCCCCTAGGGCTGCAAGGACCTTCTGAGAAGGTGTTTGGGGTGGGTTTGGAGGGTCCAAATACCTTCTGAGGATGTACTTGGAGCCCTAGGGTTCATTAAAAGGGGATTTGGATGATGTTTGAAATAGAACCGTCAGTAGGTGGACATACGAAATGTGCCCCCCAAAATCCAGGCAAACCAGTATAGTAGGTATAACCAGTTGTTCCAAAGACTAAAGCCGTAGACCTAGGAAGCCTGGTTTCTTATATTAATTTAGTAGATGGTGGTAACTGGGATCCATGGGGTTTCATATGTTCTCCAGTCTAAATTCCAGCCATGCCATCGCACAGGTTCCTGGCACCAGCTGCTGCGACGCTTGCGCAGGACGCGCGTGTAGCTGCGCGTGTTGAAGTGAAGATCTCTCCATCATGGAAGTAGAACGTGGCCCCGTAGATCACCATTCCCCTCTACAAACAGGTGGTGAATTCCATGAACCATCTGAATGACTCGAGGAGGAGAACCGGTGCAGGGTTTGATCAATTCAGAAAGGGCTTGATAGGGACAGGAAGATTAGTTATGGTTACTTGCTCATGACTGACCACTGATGTCAATATGCTTGTGCTTGCAGCTTGTAGCAAGACATTGCACCTTGACCCTTTGACCCTTTTGGATGGACCGGCCGCATTGCGATGACCTAGCTGAGCATTCTTATATGAATTGATCCAGACCATTTGCTTTTGCCACGGTCCATTTTTGGTGGCCATGTGAATACCTAGACTACTATAGACCCTGAGTGGCCTCTACTTTCGACCAGCAACCACCCAAACTAAATTGTGGTTGTTTTTTGGAATCGAAGCAGGTTCACAAGATACCCATGCAGTGAAACCATGCCTCAGCTGCAGGATTTGAGTGCTGCTGTACGAAACGACTGGTGCAAAACATGACCTTTGCGCGGGTGATAGGGATGAGGGAAAGTGCACGGGCGGCTCGTGTGGCCGAGGTACGGATGTGTGTTGTGAGGCAGTTTCAGGTTCGTGGATTTGTTCCTCAAGGTCAAGGGGGTTATTGTATATCAATCAATTAATCAACCATCAACATGATCATGTTCGTTATCTTCCCTGCGGCTAAATTCCCTCTTGGGAATACTTTTGTACCTTTTCCAGGTGCCTTACGCAAATCCAAGGTTTCATCCAGGCAGATTGCAATCAAAAAAGATCAGTCTCAGTTAGAGCTCTACTCGCATCACTTCAGACACAAAGTGGATGGCGCTTCAACGTCGTTTTTCTAAATGCAAACATGGTGCTTTTCTCAGTCATTTTTGTGTGTTCATTAAGTTTGCCACGTATAGCAACTCACCCCGCTGTAGCATTTTCCAAACCCATTGAATATGTTCCATCAAAGTGCACATGCCAATCCACACCCCCAAGGCACGCGGACCGCGGACCGCAAAACGTCTCGCTTGAGATCCGATGCCAATTCCCGTGAATCATCACCGAATCGGCTGGAGACCGAGGCTTGAGCGATCCCCTTTTGGCAGCTTCTTTGACGCGACCCGTCGGCAGTGAAGGGAGGTGACCAAGAAAGAGACGCCCAGCACAAACCGGTTGTAGCTGGACGTTTCCAGCGGGGGTTGGCGCTGTCATTGCAAGATTGCAGGAACACAGTGCTTTGATCCCCTGCACAGTGCTTTGATGATCTCATGATGGTCCCGCGCATCGAAAATCTGGGCCACCTGGAGGCTGGCAGCGCTGTGGGCCGTCGTCTATCCTATTGCCGGATGGCCGAGCAGAGAGTTTGGTCGATCGGTGGGTGGGCAGCTCGGGTCCATTTTCTCAGTGGTTCTTCGGATGATTAGTTAGGAGGTCTGGTTGCATTGTATCCCCCCTAGAGCTAGAATCGTAAAGCCGAATTACAAGTCCAAAGATCTAGTACGTCTAGTAAACCCGGTCTTTTGCTTCCTTTTGTATCCTTTTGTATTACCAACTCCAGTCAAGTGAGGTCCCACTGACCAGGTACTATAGGATGCTATAGGATTGTAGCTATGGAGACCATGTTATGTAACATTCTGTATATAATACTGTATATCACCCGTACCCAAGTGACCGAGTGATACAACACCATCGTTTCTTGGTGGCCGTTCTGTCACGACACTGGAACCAGGTAGCACCCCAAGTCGTGTCCACCCTGTGAGTGCCCGAATTCGGTGTACAGCATGCTACAGCATGCTACAGCAGCTATGGCTATCGTTTAAGTGAAGGCGATCCAACAAGCTTTTGGTCACAATGGCGTTGTTGATGTCGGTCAAGTCACGTCCATGAAACATGGGGACATAGCCCGAAACAGACTCTGGGACATCAATGATAGGTTTGGTGGGATCTCATCAACCTGCACAACGTCCAGGTGACCTTTGTGACCCTACACCCCCTGGTCCTTAGTAGTGTAGGTTCAACCCTCCGGAGGGTTGTTCACACCATCTCATCTTCCCTCATCTTCCCACCACAGCGACATCCAAGGTGACCTTGTGTGGGGTCCCAGTGGATTCGCTCATCCGGCCGTACTCCGCCACCCTCTGGAACGCTCACCGGAGTGACATACGATGCCTCCTTGTTTGGTCAATCAGACATCATCAGACATCTAAAGGTGTAACATATGTTACAGTACAGACTTATGCTTATGTTACATAATCAGACGTCTAAAGGTGTAACAGTGTATCATGGTGTAGCATATCCAACATATGTTAAGATTTATAGTAAAAACAGGTTACAGTAAGACTTATATTTTGTTGAAAAGGGGTCACATATGTTTCACCATCCAGCTCAGGTGCCGCTCACACCGCTCTCTCGCATCGGAGGAGGCCAGGGGTGGCTACGGCGAAACCACACCAGCGTCGCTAGGGCGTTTGTGGATATTTGCAGATTGGTTGGTTGATGCTTTCAATTTGACCTTCAAATTGGACCTTTACTTTTTGCGGTTCAACAAAAATGATCGGCATCAGTTTCTCCGCTGCTTGGCGCAGCAAGTCTTTGAGCAAGTCTGCATCGCCAGGCGCGGAGAAGCTGGGCCATTCAATTGAACGGCTCCTTCGGGCGCGTTGGAGATGTTTTCTTAGTTTGTTGATCCTCTACGGCTATGTGTGGCTGAATAAACCTGTAACAGCGGACAATTTGTTTTTTTTTTTTTTTTGTTACGTTTGTTTTATATAACTATGACTGTAGAGAAAAGGCTTGAAATCTAACCATCATCATCCAATAAAGGCCCTGAGAATGGGATATGCCCAAACCCTAAGTGAATAGATGTTCTGGGCACCCTATCCTCCAAGTTGGGCACCCCGACATGGAAATCCTAGCGGGACGACATCCCATTTTGTCACTCTTTCACGTGTAGCACGTGTGTTTCAGGCACATATCGCATGTTCCATGCTGATGCTGCGCTTATGAGTTCATTTGTGTTGATGTTTCCGAGGCTACTCCATTTGGCCTGGAAACTCGATGGGGGTATATGCTGGTGGGCCGGAATGGATTGCGGCAGGTGCAATCGACGTGATCTTGGGTCTTTGCCATGGCGTTACGTCAAGCTTTGCTGCATCTACGTGCCTGGCGCATTCGAATTAAAAAAACTAGGTCATCCGTTCCAAAACGCGGAATCAACACAGATCACCGCAGGGAACTGGAAAATGGCTCCTTCTGACAAACTGACTTTCCTTTTATAGGATGATGTCGCACTTCCGTGTTGAACTGGAGCGTACTTCCAATGAAGAATTTGCACGGGACATAACCATGACACCCCGACATTCTGCGAATCCATTCGTGAATGTACCGCCTCCAGGGAGCAGAGTCGATCATGGCGGCCGCGCGGCCGCGCGACTTCAGGTGGTGGGAGGCTGTGGTTTACCTTCGCAAGCTGGGCTTTCTCCTGCTGGAACTTCTCCCTGGCTCCAGGAGAGCCCAGACCAAAACGACAGCCGTATAGCGTCTCCGGTGGACAGATGTCGTTTTTTTGGGGGGAACATGTTAAGGCTCGTCAGTTGACAGATCGATGTTGGGCAGTTGGACGGATGTTTTCCAACCAAGTCGGACCTACTTCGGAGTGCTTTCCAACCCTGGCGGTGAGGTCTCGCGTGTGCTGTCACCGGTCCGGGGTCAGTCGGACCTACTTCGATCGGTTCGATCGCTTCGACGGCAGGACGCGGGTCTTGGTCTTCAGCGTGTGCTGTCTCTTGGCGCTCTATGCTCAAGAGGCCTACCGGTCCGGGGCCTAGGAGGTGGCACGCAGTTGACCCTCCCAACACACATGGTGGAACGGTGGAAGTGAGTTCACCCCCCTGTTGGTAAAGGAACATGGTTTTCTTGAAAAACTGGTGGCAGGGAGGGTAGCAGCTGGCATAGCAGGGGATCTCAAGCTGGAGCCCTGCCACCATGTAGCGAAAGACCTCCCAGGTAGGCCCTGCGCATCCACGGACCCACCTGTCATCTGGTGGCCTGTCCTGGGCCATCAAGGGCCATCAAGGTTGGATTCCATAAGACACCACTGGTATAACCAGACCCCCAGTGTGGTGAATCTGTTGGACATGAGGATATCAAGTAGATTCCAAAGCCAACTCTTTCAGATCTAGATCATCTTTGTATCAGATTTAGAGGTAAAGTACTTGGACAGATTGCCGATGTGATCTCTTTGCATCCGAAGTAACCAAAAGGTAATGAGTCTGGTAGACGAAGTCTTCAGTCTTTACTATAGTTTGGGTTTGCCCTATTACCTGTATAACTGTATAACAGTCAGTAAACAACTAATTCTCAATCAACTATCACTATTGTTGAACAAGACCTTTAGTAACCATCATCGTCCACTCTTACTGATAATAGGATAGACTTATATAGTGTGCTTCTTGTTTGAAAGGCATATAACTGAGCCAAAAACCCACAACCCGCACCCGAGGCCATCACTTGTCTTTGCTGATAAGAGGAGTGACGACACGGCTGTGGCTCAAAATGTGCCCTATAGGACCCGCAGGTGGCATGATCTATTTTCTCCTAAGGGTCCAGGATCATCCTGAAGATGTCCTTTGCCCCCAGAGACCATTCTCTGGAAGTACTTTCACCTCCAAGACCATCCTCAGGAGGTGCCTGGACCCTATGGGTTCATTTCTGATCCCAATGTGTATAGCTATTCCAGCCCCATAGATGGTCTGGGATTGAACAGGGGGCTTTTGCAGAGCGCATGACAGTTTGGAGTGAGAATGACCCCATTGTGACCACTTCAACGATATCAGTTGCATGTCGTGCCCAAATCAACGCCTTGTTGCCTCAACTTTGCGCACTTTCTGGACGAGGGTTAAAGTTTAAAGCCCAAAAAGCTGCCTTAAAAAACCGTCCAAGACACCTTTATAAACCTCCATGACGAGCCTGGAAACAGCACTTGTCAAACTGCCCAAATTGGGGATCGACGTTGTTTTTCACAAGACCCTGACAACTTGGCCAACGTCGACCCAAAGCCTGTGGCAACAGCCTGATCATAATTGAGCCCCTTGGAGTGAATCTGAGCCCCTCGGAGTGAATCTGAGCCCCTCGGAGTGAATCTGAGCCCCTCGGAGTGAATTCTGGGCCCCTCGGAGTGAGATCCTGATGCAAAAACACTTCAAAACCTCACAGCCATCCTGGCCATCCTTGGTGCGTGGCGTACGTAAGCGCCAAAGCCGTCCGCTTTGGGTCGCCACCACGAGGGATGACGGGCGGAGATGGCTGGGTGCTTTGGTTTTACCAGAAAGGCTTTCGGAGAACTTGAGAGTTACGAACGAAAGGCTCTGAATTGACGAAAACGGCATCTTGAACTTCCACGGCTCTGTACAGAAAGAGGTCGATGTAGAAACATGTTGGTGCTCTTCGGTTTTGTTTCACTTTTCTCGCCACAACTGGAACTGGACTCCAGGTATCAGCTGTGGTGCGTGCTGGCGCCGGGCCTGACGTTGCTGCTCATCTTGGAGACAGAAGCTGAGAGGAGCTGGGTACCAGATGGGGTAGGTGTGAAGCTGACGAAGCAGCGCATGAAAACGGCTCAGTTCGTTTCTTCAACCGGCCAACGAACAGACCTATTCATGGATCTATTCTATGATGATCTATCTTCCCAAAAAGATCAAAAAGAGCCAATTTGATGATTCTGCCAGTGTGTCTCTGAGAGGAACCTTTGTCTTTAGGAAGGAGTTGTCGAAGTTACATTGGTTTGTCACCAATGCTTTGCCATCCCTGGGTGACAAGAGTTTTCCATGACTGCTCGGAGTCTTGACATAAGTCACTTGGTCATTAGTTGCCGTGCCACTGCGATTGTGATTTTGGTTTTGGCTCCCTGTCTTTCGGGTGGCTTCGGCCAGGATGTCCACTTCGATGTGGACGGCAATGGCAAGGATCCTCGAGTCGTTCGATGTTCTTCCCTGCTGGTGAATCCAGCTTCACTGAAAGCGCATCGGCGCATCGCTTGTAGGTGAGGAATAATTCTTGATAGGTGTTGTGATTTGCATGGGCAGGCCTTTTTTGAGCCATACATACTGTTATTTTCGATATCCTCCGACCCTGGCAGCCAGGTTTTGCAACACCGTCACAATCCATCATACCTGGAAGATGGACATGCCCCTTGAGGAATTGGCATTGTCATGTCTAGGTCTAGGGTGGAGTTAGAGGGTTCAACTGGGTTCCACTACCTTGCGACATCTTGCATCCAGAAAAATACGCAGAGCTGCTCAGGTGGTCTTCTGCTTTGTGAGCCACGTCCTTTTCATCTTAGTGCCTTGGATGCGTCCGTTTTTGCAGGAGAAGTTGCTCAAAAAAGCATTTATTAGTGTCTAAGACTCCAAGAAGCAGGATCAAGCAGGATCCGTTGCTTTTTGTGGAAGACTTCACCAACTTCGAGTTACAACTTATGCCAGATGATGCACATATGTGCTTTCTTCTCCAAGTCAGAGGGTGTTTTGGTTCTTTTCGGGCTTTTGCTGCATTGTTCGACCAAGACGACCTTCCAGCACTTGCCTCCAGCATCATTCTGAGATCCATTTTTGGTTCAGGCGACCAGGCACGACCATCATGACACCCTGTGTTTTTCCATCCAGGTGTAGGGGTCGTTGTAGGCCATCTTGACCTGAGTGACGTCGCTCCAAAACCTCAGGTTTGGATTTTCCACTTCTTCCAGAATCCTTTGCCCGGTTGCCTGGAAGATGGTGGTGAGCTGTGATTGTTTCGGGCTGAAAAACATCATCGGTGTCCTTCTGAGAATTCTTGGCGCGGGGAGTCAGACAAATCTGGAGGAGTTGGGTTTCTCCACAATCAGAAGGAGTGAAGTTCCATCATTTTCAGGTCCCCTATGTTCCAGTGTTAGGGTAATTGGGCCCTGAATTTCCCTGGTCCTTTTCTCGGAGCTGATGGCTGAGGCGCCGCATGGTCATGTGGCTGGCCACATGCACGCCCAGTGCTGATAAAGGCAGCTTTGTCATGCTGAGTGGGCTGATCGCCGACCTAGGATTTAAGTCAAGAATCCATAATATAGAGGAAGTTATAGAGGATATACAGTGTTTGCATTGCTCAATGTATTTGAGAGGTCGCTACGTTACAAGTACGGTGATCCAGTGTGTTGCACAGTTTTCTAGCCAATGCACTTATGGATGGATGCTAGGACGAAGCTCGACTTCAGAGCCTGGCTGTCGCAAAAGTCATACACAGCTTCGCATTTTAGGGGACCATGTTTCATGTCTAGAGTCTATGTCAGCGACCAGTAGAGCACATGATCTCATTCAAAAGGTGGCTCAGTGGTTCACATGTTCTTTGGGACTGGAGGCCAGGAGCAGTTGTTCGACTGGGCCCAGTCGATTCAAGACGGCACCGGGCAGGGTGGTACCTACGGAACTTGATTTGGCTGGCACGAAGCTGGCGCGACAGCAGCATGGAGACCTGATGCACTGGGATTTGTTTTAAGGCTTTGACCCAACGAAGGACCTCCTTAAATGCACTCCGCTGAAGCCTCACATGGACCTTGAAAACTGCAGGTTGAGTTTTTGGGCTACAAAGCGTCATCCAAAAAAGTGTGTCAAAAGGATCAAACAGAATCCAAAGCAAACACATGCTGAGAGTGCAACAATTAAAAGGCGGCTTCACTAGCATCATTACTTGTGAAGTCGGTGTTTGTAGTTGTATTTTTGAGCTATGGTGGAGAGACGGGTGTGGTACCGGAAAACCATTTGCATTGGGTTAGCAGTAGGTGCACAACTCCCCTCATGTCTCTTAGGCGTGAACCATGTTTGGGGGGTTGCGCCATCTGCTCTCAACCCACTATGCTCTTCTAGTCACGAAAGGTAGCTTGAGCTACCTGAGTTCTCCTTGCTTTAGCAAAAATGTATTACAATCAGGAGTTGGGATTGTGCATTGAATTTGGTCCTGTAAGAGTTGATTCTGTTCGTCGGGGGGGGGCCCCCCCCCCCCCTGGATCAAATCCCCCCTGCGCCGGTTCACGCCGTCGTGGACTTCTACCAGGGTTACTTGTGATTGCCTGCTACCTTTCGTTCACCCCCTCCTCTCTCAAGTCCTTGTGTTTGCGAGATCCGGCTGTGGGTGCCATGGGATTGAAGTCGTGGAAGCTTGCTATGTAATGTATTGAGGGTTGATACAAGCAGTAAGAGGTTCAACATAACATCCCGGACTCTGACCCTTGTAATGCCGGTGTTTTTGGTAAATGCACCAACATCATGAACATGTCGACCACATCCAAAGAAATGCTATGTTCCCGGCAAAGGGAAACCTTGGTTTTATACAGGATATGTTGAAACGACTAACATAGGCAAAACAACAAGGTTAAAGTCAATGTGTTTTTCCCAGTGACAGTTTCAAGGCCAAACTATATAAAGGGCTTTATAATGCTTATTGTATAGTTGGTGTATGTCCCTTTCCAGCTCATTCTTATATTCTTCAATCCGTCTTTTGTTCAACCCCATCCGGCTTTCTGCTGGCTCCGGGCTCTCTCAGGTGAGGCCTCGAAGCCCTACCTGGCCTTCCACTCCTTACACGGCTTCATCTCGGTGGGAAGCGTGGGACGGGACGGCCTTCCCCACCTGGCAGGTGAGGGTTGTGAGATTTTATCGGAAACTGTCCTCTTCTCCTCTTCATTTCATGTTTATATGTTATCCCAATCGAGGGTTTTTGATTCATTAAGAGTTGGTTCTTGTGGTCAACGGCATCAGGAGATACCGTTTTGTTGTGTCTACCTGGTGTCGGTGGAGCTCGCGCTGGTTGGGTGAACGACTGGTCTGGGTCATCTATGGATGGCAGGGCCCCAGTTTAGGAAGGTCACTGAACTCATCAGTGACGGTTAGTGGAATGAGTTCACCATTTGTTTGGCATTCGGATTGAACATGCTCATCCTTTCGAGCATGAGGGAGTCTAAGTCTAAGTCTTCATGGGTGCCCAGAGTCTTCGAAAAACTCTTTGGAGACTGAAGCAGTTTGGAACAGTGAGATGAAGCAGTTGAGCGTATAGTTGATCGCTTCTTTTTGGAACCATTTGAGGAACAGCTGAGGCCCCAAAAAGGCTCAAGATGTGTTATGTTTTTTTTTATCAGTTGCAATTTGCAGTCGATTACATCACAAAACCTGACAAAAGTCCAGGCCCCGATGTTTTTGCGAAGCTCGTAGATGTGAGGTGAGCGGCATGGGCGGGGACAAGGCATGCTTTGTCGGTTTCGATGGGTTTCGTGGCTGGCAGCTGTGCGGCAGCTGTGGTGGGATGTTATTTTCACAGTCACAATCCAGTTGGGGTCATCCAAGGTGTGGATCATGAGGAATCCAGACTCCGCAGCTTGGGAGAGGAGGACCTTCCTTTCGTGGAATCCGCGGTTTTGATTCTTCACCGGACACAAACGGGATTTTCGGTGAGTGCATTGCTGAAATTGAAAAAAGGTCATGGAATCCAACCCAAACCCACTGGGAACATGCAAGAATTCTCCACTCCTTCATTCATGTGTCCGCTCCCAGTCTTTGAGATCTGAGAGGCCCATAGAATCGAATCCTTGCTGAATCAGTGAGAGAAGGCCCTCACTGATCTGAGAAGGCCCTCACTATCCTCAGAGAGCGCTTCCCGCGCCCGCCGCAGGCATGGGTGCCGCACTTGCCCCAGGGTGTGGGGGCACAGGGGTGTGGTCAATGCTGAGCAGGAACTGTATGACGTGTTTGGTGTGGTGGCTGTATATAAATAGATAGATAGATAGATAATAGATAGGTAGATAGATAGATAGGAATGTAGACGAGCCCCACTAAGAATGTATTGGATACCGTGCCACGTGCCACTACCTATTTGGGGACCACTACTATAGTTTGCAGTTGTTTTCAATTGAATTGCAGACCCAGAACTCATCAAGGACGACAGGGGCTAGAACAATTTTGCCACGCAAAATTATGATTGCAAGCTTTGATGTGGGCAGAATAGGTTTTAGCATATTTTAGGACAACCACATTGATAATCACGCTTGAGTATGCATTCAAGGCGTACCAATGAGGACTTGTCTGGGAGTTCTTTTTTGCTTGTGCCGACACTTACCTATACTCCCTAGTCGTGCAGTGGCATGTTCGAAACAATCAGCAGAGCATAGCAGAAATGCTATACTAGCTACACATGCTATAATGCTATACTAGCTTGCTGTGTGTTCTTGTTGATTTGGGCCGTGTTGTCCATGCCACCCTCTCAGTTTCCCTTCGTCATCTGAACTTTTCGTACCTGGTACCAGGTCACGAGCTGCCAGACGTCTTGTTGAACAATGACGAGTATCGCCTCAGGTGCCACTCGTCACGGGTCGTCGAAGAGGAACCCAACCCCTTTCCCAAACCGGAGGTTGACATCCCGGACATAAAAAGGGATCGCTTCATTTGACCCCGGGGTTGATTCCAGCAGGGTGTTCGGTTTTTATATATTCACCCACAGCCAAGTGGTTTGGTTTGTGGGTGTGTAAAAAAGAACTCATATATGTTCTAGAATTTGCCTTCAGATTGTTTGCCTCCATGATTTTTTGGTCGCTCCTTGGTGGAATTCAAAATCGATCTGGTAGGATTTTTGCACGACCGCAGAAGTTCAGCCTGATTGAGGGTTTTGGGTTTAGGATACAAGAGAAGGTGGCAATTGCCTCAAACCTTCAAACCTTCAGGATGTGTAAAGAATATATCAGGAAGAGTATGAGGATCATACATTAGAACAATCAATGCTGGGGGGGAGCTCCCAGAAACCCTAGAGGATCATCAAATATCGGAGGAAGGTCCGAACTTCGTTTCATCTATAGTTTGACCAGATGCCGGCGGGCAATGAAGATGGAGGGCGGGCTTCCAGTGGTCTCCTTCGATGAGGAAGAGTTTAGCCGCAGTGCGTCCTCCACCAGTTCCTCCACCAGCACCAGCAGTGACTCGGAGTCTTCTGCGTCAAGAAATGGCCGGGAGAAGAGGCGAGAAATGTCCATCCCAGCGCTGAGCTTGGGGTTCAACCGTGTGGCGAGACGCAGGGCGTCCTTGTCCGGGGAAGCCTTGCCTATCTTGGTCAGGAGAACCGTGGAACAGCCGAAGCCAGAGGTACCCAGTGAGGCCAGAAAGCGACAATCTCAAGTTGGTGGGTGGGGTCCTGTGCCTGGCTTGGCCTCTTTCATGCTAACCCCCCAAGATCGAGAAGAGCATGAGGAGGAGCCACCCAAGATGCCAAAGCTGCCCAAGGGTTTGGGCATCAAACTCCGCAACAGAATCTGGAAGGCACCGGTACCAACCCTGAAGCGCTTCCACCTCCGAGTTGCAGCCAAGCTTGGTTTGGACGCAGATGCTGGCGATTGGGACCCAGGTCAAACTTATTTGATGTCAGTGGAGAAGCTTGAAGAGCTTGCTGAGCAGAAGCTGCAGCGACAGCGCTACAAAGCAGCTGTGATGGTCCAAGCTCGTTGGCGTAGCCTGCGCATTCGCAGGGTCTACCGCCAGGTCATCATCAAACGCTTGGAATCTCGGCAAAGGCTTCGCGAGTGGTTCCGCAAGTTGCTTCGCAGGAGACGGGTGGCGGACAAGATCCAGCATTTGCGTAGCTGCATTGTGAGCACCGTCAAGATCCAGGCCCATGTGCGCCGTTGGCTTGTTCAGAAACATTGGGGCGCCGACTTAGCACTACACCGGGTACAATACCGGATGCCTGGTTTTGCTTGGTTTTCGATTGTTATTTTCCCCTGTTCCTAGGGTGAACCCGGTCACCTGGTGAATGGTTTTTTATTACATGTTGTTCTTCCCTTCCCGGTCACCTGGGACCAACAGAGGTTGAAAGACCTATAGACTATCCCAGTTTGGTACCCCAGTAGGGTCCTATTGACGGTCACTGTTCCACCTCTCTTGGGACAGCACATCCAAGGATGACCATGCTTCAAGAGCAGCTTTATCCCTTTGAGGAACGGGAGCGCGATCGCGAAGAAGCGGAACGGTCCTTCATGAGCCGAGAGGAGGTGCTGTCGCAGCAAGCCGAAGCGGCCCGAAAGCAGCATGAAGCTGATATTCAGCGCTCAGTACCCTGGGCCATTGCTTCAGTAAGGTGTTTTTTGTGATTTTTCTGAAAATTGTTTGTCAAAAATATTCCCGGGGCCATTGCTTCGGTGTTTTTGGTGATTTTCCCCCTAACTGGTGCTGGGGATATACATTTGTCATTGTTTGTCATGTTGTTTTGCCTCTAAATCCAAGGTACAGGTTCTGCAGCCCGCTGTGCGGCGCTGGCTCTCGCACCTGAAGTATTGGCGGGCCTTGCAGGAGCGTGAGAAGGAGCTCAAGGAGGAACAGGCCAAGCGACGACGGTACCGAATACATCGAGATGAGGATGAGGAACAGGTCAAGAAGCCTGGTTTTGCTGATCAGGTAACTTTTCTACTTACCTATGGTTGAATCCCCTTCTGGTATCTTCGGGCTGGTGAAAAGCTTAATGTTTTCAAGTTAAGGTTCCTGGAGAGCAAATCCTAGGAAGGCTGGGAGTGGCGATGAACCTCACCGGATGGGTGGAAGAACTTCGGGGGTGAAAGAGGACGAGAAAGGGTGGCATGCCTCTCCGCTCAGCAAAGCTCTCTTGGCCCTAGAAGCAATGACTACCACAGTGGAGAGTGAGAAGGGTCGAAGTTCTTCACATTCGCGTGGCTTTCGCGCCCGTGCCTATGGAAAGACCAGCATTGTGCTTCCTCCAGCCCCGCCAGGCTTCCGCTCAGACATTGCGGGCGCACGTGGAGGACCTCGTCGCCGCCACACTCCTCGGCTGGTCTCCGTCCCGTCTCCACTTCGCCATGACAGATCGACCTCACGAAGCAGAAGTTTGCCTGCCTGAGAATTCCCATGGAAAGGCCGTTTCTTTAACTCTTTTTCTCTATTGGTGTCTCACCCGCATCTCCAGCAGAAGAGCTGCAGGAGTGAACCACCCCAGTGACTAGCGCCGTGCCGTGCGCCGAGCTCGACCCAACGGCGTCCGCAGCATCCACCTCACCCGCGTCTCCGCCTTTGCCGCTGCACCGAGCGTCTCGCGTCTCGAGAGGCTCTCCTCTGTTCCGAGCTTCCTGCATCAGGCGACGATGGGACAAGGGAGATGAAAGAGACTCAACGGACACCTTTTGTCTCCCTCTTTCAAAGAAGACCTTCGAGATGTATGCCCACCTCTCTCTGAGATCGCACAGCTTTTATCTCCCTTTGGTTTATCAAGCAGTTGAGAATCGATCTTTGTAAACCAGAGGTTCGGTGAAATTCGCTGTCCTAGGATCCCAAAGACTTTCAGTAGCCCTGCTCTTGCGAGCAGCTGGGTTCACAATGGTTCAGTGACGAACATAATAAGAAACACTAAGAAGCGAATAGATGGTTGAATAAGGACCCAGTGGCAGAGCTGCTTGAAACTTGTGTTGGCAATAGATTGTTAGTTGATTGTTGTATATTGTTTGAACATGTTGGAAGTTGGAACAATAGGTTCATGCTTGGATTCCTTCAATTCGATTGCTTTGAGACCGCATGACTGCATGAATGAGAGGATCTAAGAGGTCAAGCTAGCAGATCAAAGATCACCCACGAATCACATGTTCACTAAGAAGTTGTTCTTTCAGGTGGTGGTGCCTTCCTTATCAGCCAGGCTCGGGTGCACAAAGTGACACCTGGAGCCGTGTCATTCAATTTGGTTTGAGGGTGAACATGGAGAAACCAAATTTGCTTTTGTCTCAAAAACCATGGGCTGCAGTCAGCTAGTCTTCCCCAGGTGCGAATTTCCTTGCAGCTTCAAACCTTCGGATTGGAGCAAGTGTCAAATGAGTCAATTGGACCCATCCTATATTCCAGTAGATCATGGTTGGCAAAGGCCCTTCTCAACATTTGACACACGCCCCGAATCCCTACCAATCACTGACTTTTTGGTTCTCGCAAGGGACATTGGATGTCATTGGATGGCATTGGTCGGTGCAGAACATTTGGTGAGTGATCACCGACTCTGGTGCCCAGAGGATACTTAAGAGATTGACTTCGTTCAATGCCCACAGATTTGCTGCAGAATTGCTTTTGGACCCAGGAAGATTTGATTCACCCATGGATTCCCCCTTCATCAAAATGGCTTCAGATTTGTAGCTTATGGGGGGATTGGAGCTTGATTAAAGCTTTCAGACCTCCACAGAAAAACATAACAACACCCCCAACCTTTCTTCAAGACACACCCATTTGGATGTGCATTGAAAAAAGAGGGAGAACCAACTGCCCCCAAATCGGCCCAACTGGCGACCGCGACCTGTGGACGACAGAGTTCTCTCCGAAGCTGTCAGCCATCGGGGGATTAATTCGTTGCTGGGGGTCGGTACGGTTGGTCCCATGATCTGTAACAGTCGAAAAAATAAAGCACCTATTGGTCAGATGGAGTAACGGCCTCCCAGGGTCCATCATCATCCACTGGAACCGACCGGGTGCCACGGGATGCACCAGTCGATGCCCAGACCCGTCTCTCGACGTGAGGCTCTCGGTCCAGCGAGATGTGATGTCCACGGCACGCGATGCCCAGTGGGTTGGCGGGTTCAACGGGTGGGTGAAACCGGTTCTGGCCGGAGCTTTACAAATACACGTGGCAGCCAACACCCAGGCCCCCCAAAATGGACAGCTCACCGTTAGGATTGGAGAGGATTGGAGAGGTCAAAGGATAAAGGAGCTTGACCGTAACAGATGCACTATACTATACCTCGATCACTATACCTTCTTAGCTGCTTGTTTCATGTATGGGTGTTCTCACTTGGCATCCACCAGTGGGCCGAACTAGCCGAGCCCGTGCCGCACCCCGTATTGAAGGATGACTTCGGCTTGACACGCAGAGAACAGACCTTCTCAGAAGCTACACCTGGACCTGGACCCTCCTGGCACCTACATCAAGCTATACACAAAAGCCTCCATAGGAGGGCTTCGAGTGGAGCGTGTCCCAAAAAACGCCGGGTTCTTGTGATCGTACATGACCCCGTGACCTCGACCCTAGACGCAAGCTGAGTCACCTCCAGTTATGCGGCAAAGTCTCCCAAGCGCTGAGGTCACTTCGGTGTATTGGTTTCCACACGTTCGACTGCTTCGTTTCATTGGTCCTTTCTTCCTGGCTTTTCTTCAAGGTGATGTTAATTCCCCACCTGCCAGGTGAGGGTTGTTAGATTTTATGGTGGGGATCACTCGAAGTAAAGTAATTGTCTTTTTTCATGTTCCCTATATGGATCCCATCTCTTCCTTTGTCGTTTTCACTCGGTTCGCCTCGCCAGCGCCCAACCGGCCACCGGGCAGCCGCTGTCCGCGCGACGATGGCCCGAGGTGTCCTACCTCATCGACGGGATCTCCGGCACCTTCAGCTCCAGCTGCCTGGACTTCGCCCCTCGACGCGATCTCACTTAACGTCGGGCGGTGGCGGATGAGGATGAGGATGATAATGATGAACAGCTTACATTCCAGCACAAACGAAGGTTTCGGGGTGACTTCTTGAATGGACCTGCCTACAGGAAAACGGGGGTCGGTCCACCCCCAAATTGGAGGAGAACGAGCCATCGAACCGTCTGCGAAGCAGCTGCAATTTGAAGAACCGAAGTTCGGGCGAAGTTGGCTTGGTTTCGGAAATGTGGTTTCGGGTACCTCAGGGTGTCAAGTGTGTTTCTACTCAATGCCTCATGGATGTGTCATGTGCATGAATGTGCCGCATAGATGTAAAGCGGTGCAAGTTACATGAATAACAAGCGACAGACGAAATGCATGACATTTGGCTCAAACGCTGAGCACTCCTTCGGCCAAACGTGTTTTCTTTGCACTCCTTCGGCTCGGTACACTGAGCCGCTCATCGACAATGCAGCCCGCCAAGCGTGCGAAAGGTGAGGTAGTTTTAACACCCACCGAGCTCAATCGTCGAAAGTTACGAGACTGCTTGGAGCACGGGCGTTTGCTTCATCCCACCGAGGACCGGGCCTTGTGATTGAGATAGATGTGGAACGTTCCTTCGATGTTTCGATGCTTCAAGGATGGATGATTCAACTTGTCCCACACCCCCTGTGACCCCAAAAGAGCCGGAGGAAGAAGTTTAACCAAACATACCAACTTTGAGAAGGCAGGAACTTCACACCAACTTTGAGAGATGCATCCTGTCAGAATTGATGGATCCTAAAAGTGGAACTCTCCAGAGATCCAGGGCTTTTGCTCCCTTCAACTTCTGCACGAGGAAGGGACCTTCAACTTCTGTGACATGTCTCAAGCCCTGGCCATGTGCTGTGATTTGGCCCCTGCGAAGCCCACCAGGACAGATTTGTCAGTTTTGATCTTATGTTTTGTTGACGGTAGATTATGGTAGATTCACTTGTGTTGGTTTCCGAAGCGATCGTTTGATTAGGGGCTAATCCCTAGGGATCACATACCCTCTGAGAAGGTGATTTCGGAGACATTGTTATGTAGGTTTGAAGGGTCCAAGTACCTTCTCGGAAGGTACTTGGATCCCTAGGGAATGATGTGTGCCGTGATTTTGTAGATGGAACATGTTTTTCCTTGGAGTGGTTTAGGACCCCAAATCGCGAACCTTTTGGCAGGAAGGAGCTCGCAGAGAAGCTGGCCAAAGAGCTTGGGGGAACCTCTCGTCGTCACATTGTCGTGATCTTATGATCCTCGGTTCTGCGTCTTTTGTTTTTTCCGCGCTCGCGTCTTGTTGCTGGGTGGGTGGAGAGCCTAACTCAGTCAATCTTTGTTGAAGGTTCATCATTGGAGCAGCTACAGCAGTGATGTATGAAAGTCAGCCTGGCATTCTTGTACTGAAGTCAAGACTCGCAATTGATTATATATTGAGTTTGTCGCTTCACTGTTTGCTGTCATGTGCGTATTGCAAGCCATGCAAGCATGTTTGGAGCGGGCTTAGTGTCAAGAACCTTGATGTGCTATTTGTCAAAAAGTATCAACAACATTTGGCAGGACTGTCCATTTGACATTGATGTTGTGATTGTTCTTAGCTTCCAGCAGTCTATATATAGTGATACATGTTCGGTCTATTCAGTTCAATAATTCATCTTGAAGAGTAATCTGTAATTCAGTTTTTTGTACTTCTCAGAAAGTGTTACAGCTTTTTGTAAAAAGAAGCGCAGGCGCACACTATGCCACTTAGACCCGCACATGAATTTCAATTGTTTAAGTTTATCACCATCAAGGACTCTCACAGTATATGTTAATGACAGTGTTAATGACTCAATGACTATATTATGTAATACTATATATACAGAAACAAAAACACATTATTATATAATATATAACTATTCATATCATGAAATTTTGGTCAGGGATGTTTGTTTGCACCAGTGCCAGCAAATACCAGCGGCGTTGTTGTTTTTGTGAGCCTGCCCTTGGTCACTGTATTTCACTGACGAGTCTCATCCCACCAATTGTGCGGATGAACATGCCATGATGCACCTGCACGCCATCGCATCTTGCGATCCAAAAGCGGCCCAGGTGATGGCATGGGTGTCGATCTGCTCGAGCAGCACTTGGCACCAGACTGCTTCCTTCGTAGAGGGCAGAGCTCCTACACGCTGCGTGCGGTCTTTCCGGCGACCACGCCCGCGGCCTTAACTACGCTGGCGACGGGCGTGTGGCCGGGGCAGCATGGACTGCCCGGATGGGAACTCCGAGATCAGAAGGCCGGATGAGTGGAACCATGTCCAACAGGTGGTTCTTGGAGTCCCCAACGCTCCATGTACACTGGTTTTGGAGGTTCGTTGGCACAGCGCAGACAACAAGATGACTTGGACAGATGGGGCGGGGTGTTATTTATAAACCACCCTACTTGGACATTTGTGCCATTTACTCTGAAAATACTACCAGGACCCTCCAAGAGGTGCCCCATGGACAACCCACACTACCTATAGGCTTCCAGACAGGGCACCCCTTGGAGGGTCCTGGTTTTGCCAAATAGGTGATTGTCCCAGGGGCCTGGACGGCCAAGTTTACCTACTTTTGGATGGTCAGAGTGATGTCAGACATGGAGTGCCACCGTGCCACACACCGCCCTGTGCGTCGCACACCGCCGGAACCCATCCGTCCGACAGGACAGGAAGTCCCGTAACGAGTGATTATATAGGTTCAGTTCGACCAGACATTCGCTGGGATCTCAGGATTGAAGACCCAGGATTGTCTTGTTTCTTCATCTTTGTCAAGTCTCAAGTGGTCTTTAACGGTCCACCTCGGCCCGGGTCGGGGTGCCATGACCCAGGTCACATGCAGTGAAGCAATGCAGAGGTCCCCCACTAGAGAAGACCGACCCCACCCTGGGCCCCTACAGAAAGCGGAAGAGATGTGGGCATGCGAGGTATTTTGTTGTATGTTGTTCTAGAATTTCTACTACCCCCAAGTCTACCCCCAATATACGTGTCGAGTGTTTGAGCTAGGATCCAACCTTCATTCTTCAGAACTTCTGACCAGTCGCACCAGTTATTCTTTAGATGTTCAATGATATTCACCCAGACACCACCCAGCACTGAGGGTTTGAGCGAAGGTGGAAACCATGGGGAGGCAGGGGTGGGGGCCCGAACATCACCAAAAGAGGTTCGAGACACGTGGCTTGTTGAGTTTCTGCTTTTTTCTAGGCCTCCTTCTATTTTAGAGACGACCTTTGAGGGTTCATGTGTTGCTTGGACTTCAAGTCACAAGTCGCCACCCACCCAGCCCATGCACCACTCGCTCGTCTTCGGCGCACACTGTGAGGCCTGCGAGTTTCCAAAAGAAAACCTGCACAATCCCATCCAACTCACCGTGTTTGGGCTTGAGGATTAAGTTCTTCATACTCCCCTGCAGAGGCCCACATGGAACCCAAAAACCACCACTGGGTTGTAGAGGAACATGGTCGAAACCACCGGTGAATTCTCAGGTTCCATGTGGTCCGTTGCGGGGGGGTAATCTTTTGATGTGTCGTGAGTCGTGTTCATGTTAAATTTTAGTACATGATGTGGTGTGGCTCGATTTTGAGGGCGCCGAATGCAACGGAAAGAATGCATCCCTAGGGATCCAAGTACCTTCTCAGAAGGTGATTAGAGACACTGTTATGTAGGTTTGCAGGGTCCAGTCGTACCTTCTGAGAGGGTACGACTGGATCCCTAGGGCATGTTCAAATGAGCCAAATGGATATGGTACAACTGAATGTGATGTTTCCAGGTCTTGGACTCCCAAGTGCGCGACAAGCGTACTGGGAAGCCTGTTTGGGATATGGGATTTACTACGAAAGAGGTCTACATTGAAGAGCCCTGGGTGGCCAAGGGCGAGTCCTCGAGGAAGATGAAGTTTGTGAATGCCTACAACACCACTGAGTTCACAGATTGGTACCAGGAGAAGTACAACAAAGAGGTTATGACCATTGAGGAGACTTCATATGAAACTCTTGGCAAGCCCGAAGGGTCAGAACAGGCCATTCAATATTTTAACAACGGAATCGACTGCATCCTGCAGAGCGTTGAAGAGGCTGAAAAGAATGATTGGAAGTCCTACGTTTACATGTACACAGCCCATCCAGACAAGCATATGCATGAACTGGGCATTGCCCATCCCGAAGTCACCGCCGTGCTGCGAGGTTTCAGCGATGGCCTGGAGCGTTTGTGGCAACGATTGAAGATGCTGGATGCAACGCTGCTGGTCACGGCAGATCACGGCCATGTCACCGTCGAGCCAGAGGAGATGGTCATTTTGCCACAAGGGCTCTTGGACTGCCTAGAATATGCCAATATCGGAGTGCATGGAAAAGGGCGCCACGCCTATTTTCATTGTCGAAGTGGACGGCAGGAGGAGTTTCAGCAGGCTTGACTGAAACGGTTTTGGAGCCTGCACTTGTTGGCTTTATGTGTATGTGTGGGAAGTGTCATAGCTGTCTAGGTCTAGGTGCAGCAAATCCCTTCTCCTTCCGTCAATGATTTCTATACCCTTGCCGCACGAATGAGGGTCCACGTTTCGATTAATTTAGCTTTCGACCTCATGTCAGAGTCAGTGGATCCTCGTTCCTCACACAAAAATATACTTGCCATCGATGGGGTCCCAGACGCTTCATATATGGCATGTTGATATAAACATTGGGGATCATTGGGGTATTTGTTCGGTCAATCTAGGCATCACTTCCACGAGCTGGTGTTTCAAAACCATTATTTTTGGATATCTTTGGTTGGTTCTGGCAGAACTGGAGGCTTGGGAATTGGACACATCTCTGAGCAGCTTCATCCTCCTTCCCATCGACACCGCTGTGGAAGAGGGCCTTTTTGGTCCCGACCCGCCGGTGCCCTCTGCGCGGCCACGCCTGGGGGACTTCGTCGGGCTGAGCACCAGCAACAAGACCTTGGTGACGCCTGAGGTGCAGAGTGACCTTTTGGGCGCCCAAGAGTACTTCCGGTGTATCAACATACTATATACAAACACCAGGTTCTTCAAAGGGACCTTTTGATAACCTGGCATAGATACAAAGGGTCACTTTATATATACATATATATGCTGGGTTTGGGGGGTGAAACTTGGGAGACGCATCTCACTAGTTTTTGCTAGAGAGAGAGAGGCGCGCCTTCTGTTGAGTGATGCAAAGTTGTGCGGTGTTGTTGCGGTAGTTTTATGTTTTGTTGGCTTTAATTTTTGCAAATTGCAGGACAAAGCAGGCATTTTGTCATACGTACCTAAAGCACATATTTTTTTGTTGAGATCATTTGTTGAGCCCTGTTTAGGAATCTTTGTGAGGAACAGGTTGTAGTCAACAATTTGGTTTGAGCAACATGTAACATGTGTAATTATTGAAAAGACACATGTTTGGGAGTCTTGTCTTGTCCATGGACCTTCACCCGGCCCGGGCCAGCAATCACCTCACCTGGCTGGTTTTCAAGAATCTTCTAATCTTAAGTATGTCATCAGTTGTTACCTAGATGACCAATTGAGCCCATTGTGCTTGCCACATGTCTATGTGACGTCCATGATTTCCTCTAGCCAGCCTTGGGCTCGAGGAGTTGTTGAAATATGGAGCATCTGAGAGCTTACCGGGGCGAAAGCAAGGAGCGCATGGCTCCCTGACCCCCGAAGAGATGAGGATTCCTTTGTGCTTCTGGGCGCCCGAACGGGCCTGAGAAATCAGGAGCGAAATGGATTTGGTGTCACACGTGTGGACCATGTGTTTTAGGGCCCAACACATGGACTAACAACCATGGTGTTGGTCCGGTTTCTGTGAACTAGATGTACAGTATTAGCAGCATGTCACAACGGGCGCATGCAGACCTGCCCGCAAGAGGTGGAAAAGGTACTGTCTTTGCTTCCCGAAGAGATCCGCATGCTTCCGGAAGTGGCATAACATGGCATAACCTAGAAAAAAGGTTAAGCCTTATATGCGTGGCTTGGGAGTCAGGATTCAGTATTCCTCCGATCCCTCCAAAGTCCCGCAAGAAAGATCATAGTTCCTTTCACTAAGGGGGTTTCTACTTCGATGGGAGAAGGATGCTGAAGTAGATCGGTCGATGCATCTTAATAAAGAAAGCCGCCAGAATGGTTGCACAATGTTGTACCTCTCCAGGCCTCGGCCGGTTGATGAACCGGGCACCATGCGACTTCAGGTGATTCGGGCGGCTTTCCTGCTGCAGCAAGAGCTGCTCCATGCTAAGCAAGCCAGGCGTGTCATCCCGCTGTGCACACCACTTGGAATTCGCCGGGTGGACCGGTGGTCACCACAGCAGTGAATTCCACCCACAGAAGTTCATCTCCAACATCAAGAAACCAGCAACATGCATGTGGGTGGTGATGCTCAACTGCCGAAGATCACCAGGATTTTGCCGTAGTCACCCACATGCACAGATCACTCAACAAACCCAGGGCCCTGCGATGGCAAGTCAGGAGTGACGTCGTGGGCGATGTCCAGGACTGGTGTCAGGAAGACAGCCCTCATGACTCCGACATCTTCGGACAGCCCTCCTGTCACCAGACCACCTTCATGCTTCGACTCTCTCCGTATACACTGCATGATGGGGGGGAGTGCTGCGCAACCCATTCAGAGCCACTGGAGCCTTCCTACAGGTTCAGGTCTCGGCACGTGGCCCAAAACCGTCGTGCCTTCCACCCCTCGCCGCGGGACGTCCCGCGGCCGAACTCGCCTCCGCAGGCTGGTGGCCACCGACGTGGCCAGGTGCCACCGGGGGGAGGAGGATCGAGATCTCGGGGGAGACGGCTCACGCGTCCATCGGCTTTTCCGCAGAAGGATTCCTGGAGCTTTTGGAACAGACTGGCCAGGAATCCTGGAATAATGGAATCCTTCTGGTAGGGATTCCTCGTCCACCAACAGGTTTGAAGGACCCAAAAGACTTTCCGTGACGATGACTATCCCATATATGGGATAGTATGGGATAGTCAGGTACCCCAGGTGACGGATCCTACTTACAGTCGCTTAACCTCTCTTGGCATTGCTTTTTCATGTCCTGCCAGTTGGGGCGCTGGTTGCTTCTTGTAGGTCTAGCAGCAATGTGGTTGCTTCTTGTTCCTTTCTTTCCAGAGGTCAACTTCCATTGGTACTTGTCATGGATTGCTCCAAGAGAACAACCGTTGCTTTCAGTTTCTGCTTGTTTTCCTGATAGATTCCATATAACTATTATATAAGAACTATATGTACCCAGACGTGCAGGGATCGGTCGGTCCCTCATATATAGAGGGGTTTGGGGTCTCAAATCCAGGTTTCGAGGGACCAAGGGCTGTGAACGGAGCCGTTGTGTGTATCACTTCAGTCGCCGCTTGATTCGTATCAAGCCTCCCAACCAAGCCGCCGAAATCCCTCACAGACCACATAGACCTGGCGCCCACAGACCCACAGACCGGCCCCAAAGGTGGTCGTTCGGATCGTCTTGGACTCCCAAGCGGGCTACCCAACTGGGATCGTCCGCCTAGTTCGGGTCCTTCAACCTTGTCTTTTGGGGGCAGCGCAACGCCTTCTGCTGCGGATGTCAGTTCCTCACGTCCAGCGCGAGAGGCCCATCTTGGACCGTGCAAGTGAAGCCAAAGACCCGGTGCTGCTGCGCCTTGGAACCACCGAAAAAAGTCATCTTCCGTGGTCGCCGAGAGTCGTCTTGCCAGGAGGCAAGAGACATGGATTTCCCCCCAGATGAACAGTCGTTTTTTTTCCACTTCTTCAGCTGTTGGTCTAGCCAGTAGCCTGATGAACAGACGATTAAAAAAGAAAATCAAAAAAATAACGCCCCATGTTTACAGACGCTTTGAATTTTCAGCATGTTAGTTTTTGAACTTCATGTGAGAGATGCTCCTAGTCCTAGATCTGTAGATCCGTCATCGGTAAGGGGCTGAGACTTTGCACACCCAGGCGTGATGAAGATGAAGTGAGCCGGGGCCCCTTAGGGCCCCTTGGGGTTGGTGGGAGGATTTGGAGGACGTGGAAAGCCTCCTTGACCTTGGATGTGGTCGGGCTGAGGGAGATGAGGCAGGCAGAAACAAGGAGGGTACACTCCGATTGATTTGCAAAGACGGGCCCCACGAAATGCTTAGTGGGTTGGGATGTGGCTGCTGGCTCATCAAGCATGATCAAACCAAAGACTTGATATATATATATATATACATATTATACATGTATACATATGTTGGCACATCATGCAACATTCAGGAACATGTTCCATAATGAGCATTTCTTCAAGTTTTTTCCGACTTTCCAACACCTTGGCCCGACATGATGGATTGGATGAATCACATTCAAACACGTGTCACAGCAGATGAAGGCAACGCGCGGGGGCGGGTCAAAGGCCAAAGAATCAAGCAGGTTGGGTTGAACCGCACACTGCGGCTGACTGGGCACATGGAGTCGATTGATATGTGAGACAAGGCGTTTTTGCAGCCTTGAGAGCGATGCTATCAGTATGTATCTTTAAGGAATCAACAATTATATCAACGAATCAATGCCTATGCCCAAGACCAAGTTGAAAGTCGTTGACCTGGGAATTGTTTTTTCGGTATGGACCATTGATAGTTAAATCATAATGGTGGTTGGAATCCTGGGGTATGGGTGGGGGGTTCCGGCAATGATGTTGTTGTTTTTCAAGACTTGAGTGCACCCCTCCAACAGAAAGCCCACCTGACAGCTAGGCGAATCCAGCGACGATGACGAGCTGTATACTGGCGTCCAGGCAAATGGACAAAGCCATCAAAGTGCATGGTTTTCTGACGGTCTTTGTTATAATTCATTTGATTCAGACTTAGATGGTGAAGATAGGCAAGCTGGGCCACATTCCTGTGTCTTGAGGTGGGAAGGTTGGATGAGGCCGTGAGGCCCTTTATGAAGAATACGGCTTCAGCATTATAGAAGACCGTAGGCGACACGCACGAATGCATCAGCATGAGCAGATTTGGTAAGCCTGACATTCCAGTAAGTCATGTATATATATATATATATTATGTATACCTCTCGCGCCGCACGATCCGGTGAGAAGCGTCGGCGGTATGCCAGCCACTCTGGGCTGAACATACGGGAACCCCTGCACAGAAAGCAAACAGCCGAACTACGAAAAGGGAACACGCCAGGACTCAATGGTCCGCCCCGGCCCGCTGTTCAAAATCATGGCCACGGCTAACAACTCGTTGTCTGAAAGCCATGGCACTGCATCGACAATGGCACTCTGACATAAAACTTTGCCCGCGCATTTCACATGGCGGGGATCAAAATGTCCTGGAAAAGGCTGTACACCAGAATTCTTGGCAAGGTATTGGAAAGCTTGCCTGATGACACAAACTACAGAGTGAATAGTGATGGTGCTATAGTCACCCTGTATTCGAAAGCCTCTGCTATGGAAAAGAATGCCAAGTTCGCAGAAGGCGAAAGAGGCCCCTTTTTCGCACTTCCATAGAAGCCCACTGGCAAATTTGCATACGGACTCCCAGTCAGCTGGCTTGTAACGCCACCGTGACGGTGGATCCAGAGCTCGCGGAATCTTGGGTCGCCAGCGAAACAAGCCTTGTGTCGCGGACCATTCCCACGCTGGGAATTGCAGCCTTGCTTGAGCAATTGTCTGTACGGCCGGCTCGTCAACAAAATTGGTAGCATGTGAAGACACGACGTCTGCATGTGTATCGAGCTGGCAGTGCAATTTAACTAGCCACTCTTGGTGAAGCGTAGCGGCTGCGTACATGCTTTTCACCATCTGTGGAAAGACCGGTGCGGATTCTGTTTGTCTTAGGTCTTAGGTGTATACATGGTAGATTGCCAAGATTGGCTTTTGTTCACCCGACTACCCCAAGTCAAGGCACTGTCCCCCAAGCCTTTTCCTTGAGGTGCTCTCCGGCCAGTTCACCATAGTTCACCAATGTAAAAAAGGTAACAGAATCCAGAACCTTACAATTACACATACTACCTAAGGACACACCATTCTTCTGATACCCTGGTGGGAACACCGAACAGCCAAAGAAGACCTACCGAGCTCGGGGCCGACCTGCAGGAGCTGCATAGTAAGGCCATTGGTCGCACATTGGCCAAGGCCACCGGCCGATGTCGGGGGAACAGGTGGAGGGGGTCGCGGGAGAAGGCATAGCTTGGCCAGAGCATCGTTGGGGAGATGAACATCAAGATGTTTATTACAGTTGATTACTTTTTTTACATGTTAATGCATGACGATCAATGGGTGTTTGCTTCGTTTTGGCACTAGGTGTGGATTTCTGAAATTCTTGGTAGTTAATTCGTTTGGAGGGGAAGAGGCCAAAGTGTGTTGACCAACATCCAGACAGCAGAACGACGGCCCAAAGACATGCCTGTACCCTTCAGAAAACCCAAGCTACAGCTATCAGAACCCCCTAAAGATTCCCAAAGGATTTTTTTGTTGTCCTCCAGGTTTAACGGAAAGGGATGTCCCTGGTAGACTGGTAGGCTACCAGTAGTTCTGTGTGGAGCAATATTTAGTGACCTCGTGTGTGGCGAAATGATCAACAAGGTGTGATTCATCCAATCTAGGATGCTTCATGGAATGTTCTTCCTTTGCTTGCCCTTCAGCAATAGGAAGAGCAGTACTGTAGACTCTTGACTCGAGTAATCAAGTGTCAATAACTTGCCTGTCGCAGATGCCTGGACAATCACACAACACCAGACATTTTTCATCAGGTCAAAAGATCTTCGCAAAGCTGGTAGTGACTGCGTCACTTCTTTTTTGCTTTTTCTAGGAGCTCCGAGAGCACAAGGAGATCCTAGCGGAGTGGAAGGCTGAGCACCAGTGTTGGAAGATGCAGCATAGTTTGGAGGGTTCAAAACGGGGAAAGTCAACAGGCAGGGTGGAATATAGTGGATTGAGAGTTGATGGCGCAATCCTCAAGTTTGGTGGTTGTATGGCCAGTGCCAACGCACATCTGAAACCACTAAGATGACTGATCCATGCCGTTTCGGGGGGGGGGATTGTGTGAGTTTGTTTCCTTTTCCTCGCTTACCAATAGATGGATTCTATAGTGACTCTGATTTAGGGATCTTCGCTTGGCTTCTGAATGATTTGTAGAACTTTGTAGCTTTTTATTTCTTTCCAGTCGGACACAGCCCTTGAAGCCTTTCACAGGGCATGGCTGCCTTGGAGACCTTGTTTCGGGAGCTTCGTAGTCGAGGCGCCGGTTTCGACCGACGGCGCGGGGAGCACGTGCCTTGTGGAAAGGCTGATGGGGCAGGCGCGGTTATTTCAGCATGTGGCTGGAGGAGGCAATTCCATAGGGTCTACATGGGCGTGCCTTGAAATTGGAGATTATATATATTAATATACATAATATAATATATATTTTTTTATGTTGATATATAGTAGGGGGACCTCCCAGTGCAACCCCCTGGAAGATCAAAGGCCATTGGTTGGGTGTCTCTGAGTGCCTTCCTCTTAAAATGCATACCCACCGGTTCGGGCAATGAAGCTCTTTTGGTGGGTTTGGTTGCAGATTGGGACGTGCGGCACTTCTGCTGCTGCAGCGTCGACCGTTGGGATTTTGTTTCAGCGCTTTGAATTCCATAGGTTTTCCTATGACCCTTCAAGGATTTTGGAAGATATTTTGTGTGTCCTTCATGGGCAGACCACACCACCGCCACAATAAACTTCATCACATGGGAATGGGTCAAAACCTGGATTGTGAAGCTCCATCCGTGCTACATGACATCTTGCAGTGTACGCTTCTAGTGTATGCTGAAGACTTGTTGCTGGGAATCAGTACACCATAAGTACTCTGTCAGAGCCGAGCTCGACAGTTCTCCATATGTAAAGACTAGTGAACCAAAGGCCACGCTGTAGCATTTGAAGCTATTTTTGGCAGTGCTTTTGGAGAGGAATGGACGGATCATCCTGTATATCACAAGATCCACAGATCCATTTACTGACAGTCACCCGACACCAGAAACCAGAGGTCAATCGGGTATGCACTCGTTGCATTGGCTCAAGTGGAAAAAGAGCGTGAGCGAGTACAGTTGCTCTTCATGGTAGCGGAGCCATGGCACCTTTACCAGATCCAGGATCTCCTGCGGTTGAAACTGGGACATCAGTTAGCGCTGAGCGTTTCCAAGGTTTGGAACAGCAAGTGTCCAGTTTAGCTACTATGGCTAGATCCTTGCAAGATGCTATCGGTTCGTTGGTACCTGCAGTAGAAGCATTGACCACACGTGTGAATACGCCACCACCTGTGTATGATGCACCTGAGTCAGGACCACCAGCACCAATGGTTCCTTCACCAGATGGTTTGCAATTGCCCATCCCACCTTCCGGAAGTCCACGAGATAGGAATGTTGACCCGTTGCAAGTTCAGGATCCATGGCAGAATTTCCGTCGTAATGTTCAAGACACGCCTTTCAATAATCCTGACCCAGCAAATGTCAATCTTCCTCCACCAGGGATGCAGCAGTCACCAACCGCACTTCGAGATGCTGTTGAAGTGTACAAAGGAAAGGAAGACTTGAATCCTTTCCGACGAAGTGAGAAATGGATGCCAGCTTATCCAGTTCCCCAACATGACAAATGGACCACACGACCAGAAGAAGTAGAGGGGTTCATTAGCTACATCCAAGAGCTAGCTTCATGGGCTGGATTAGGAGACAATGAATGGCCACGAGAGATCCTTTGGTCCCTTCGAAGTCCATCAGTGATTACCTGGAGTCAGATGAATGCAGCACAGATTACCAGGTCCACTCGGTTACTTTCGATTTTGAAGCAAGTGTTTTCCGGTCATGCTAGGGCAAGCTTGATTTTGGGAAACTATGAATCGTCACAAAACCGAATGAACTGTTGTGGCTATGAGGGAGTTCGTTTGCTTTCACGAGAGTTTGGAATCAAGACCAGAACAGAATTGTTGTTCTTTCGCAATCGAATCACCAGTGGAACTTTCAAGTGTGCCACCATTCCCGAGACCGTTCGACAGATCCAGCATGAGTTGTTTAAGTTTGCACGCATTCAACAATTGGTTGATCCAAGTGTGAACAGTCAACAACTGGAAATCATGGAAGCTGACCAGATTTTGATTCTTCTACGATCGTTGCCAGATGCTTGTCGTCAATGGCTTGTTCTCAATGTTGTGCAGGAAAGCTTTCAGGCATACTCAGATGCAGCTCTGAGGTACGAAGCACAGCAGAGAGCATGGTCAGAGTTGAACCACAAGCCCATTGCACCGTTCAAGGAGAAAGGTAAAGGTAAAGGTGACAAAGGCAAAAGCAAAGGTAAAGGTAAGAGCAAGAATAATGAGCACCAGACCGAGAAGACTGAGACCCGTTCGTGTTTTGAATGTGGAAAGACAGGCCACCTTTCCAAAGATTGCCCCCAGAGATTGCAGAAGTCGATTGATGGCAAGAGCAAAGGCAAAGGAAAAGGTAAAGATAAAGGAAAAGGCAAATCCAAAGGTAAGAAAGGTAAGCGAGCAGCAGAGTTTTCCGAATCAGATGCCTCGTATGATGCATATGAAGATGATGATGCATGGTCAGAAGCAGATGAAGGAGGTCGTCTTGCAACGTTGATTGTAGGAACTCATACATGTGCCAAGGTTGAACCAAAAGAGAAGAAGTCGAGCACATTGTTTGGACGATGGTTTCGTTGCATGTTCACCATCCTGTCATTGTTTTTGACATGTCTCATGATGCATTTGTGTCATCGGTATCGGTATTTCGGACAAGAGTGTTTCCATCCATTCTTTTCGTCGGCCACGGAAACTCCGATTGAAGCAGGGTATTGGCTTGTTGATTCAGGAGCTTCACGAACTGTTGTGAGTTCAGATGCATTAAGTGCATATCGCATCATTCGTGAACGATGTCTTGACAACCCACTTTCGTTCCAGACAGCGAGTGGTGATGCCATCCATGTTTCAAGAGAAGCGTTCATCGAAGTTTACTTCCGAACTCAGGTTGATTTCCAGACGGAGTATGAGAAGTGCAAGACATTGCGCTATGAGCTTCGATGTGTCGTGGCACCAGTGCAGCATAATCTCCTTTCCGTGACGCAACTTGTGGGAAAGGGAGCTAAGTTCGAGATGAGTGGAGATGGAACATTCATCATCTTAGATGAACGAAAACAACTGATTTGCGATGTTTGGTCCGGTGTACCATGGCTTCATGCAAGTCTCAGAAGCAAAGCAGTTGGCATGCCTGCGGACATGGAAGTAGATTCAGAAGGTTCGCAAGATACTATGCATGTTGACAAGCTGTCTAGCAGCCTCGCTTCGCCGACCGATTCGATCGCTATCAAATACTTGCCTAGTGCATTGAAGCAGAAACCAAAGATGCATGCAAGTGTTCTGTTAGGTGAAGAGGAATTTTTCAAAGCTTTGGAAGAAGAATACCCTCCACATGAGGAAGACATGGAAGACCACCCCATTCCAGCAGACTTCGAAGATGAGGAATCATCCAAAGTTGAGAAGACCCCAGAGTTCCCATCCGATTTGAAGCTGTTGAAGAAACGTGAGGAAGAAGAGCTTGTTCTCCACCGACTGCGAGGACACACGCCATTCGATGCCAGATGCATGGATTGCAAGTTGTCCAGGTCTGTCATGAGACATCCTCGAAGCAAAGAAAGTCGCAGTTCATTGTTGGTACAAGCTGATTTCTTTTTCATTGGGGATTACAAATTCCTAGCTTTGTCAGAAGTGATGACTGGGCTGATTGGTTGTGCATTATGTGCCGGTGAAACGAACACGGACATTCGTGCATTTTTCAACCAGTTAGGATTGTTGGTTATGTCACCATCGGAAGCACATCTTGCAGTAGAGGTCAGAACAGATGCCGAGAAAGCAGTTGCTTCGATTTTGAAACGAGCCAACCTTCCTGTTCCCCTTCACATAAATGAAGCGGCGCCCCAGAGTCACCAAACGGTAGGACATTGTGAGAGGACCGTTCGTCGTTTCAAAGAGATGATCAGTTGTTTGCAAGCAGATTTGCGGAGTCACGGATTTGTCTTGAAAGAGACCAAAGAGGCATACCGAGCAGTGACATGTTATGTAGCCCAAACACACAACCACTTTGGCATTGGCAGTGATTTCGGAAATCGTCGATCGCCAATCCAGTTGGTCATTCAAAGAGACTGCACATTGCCCACATCCACCATGTTCGGAGCAATCGTGTTTGCAAAAGTGAGTGATCACATGGAAGGACTAGTAGAAGAAGGTTCCAGATTTGTTTTGGGTGCATACATGCATATTGCATTCGGTAGCTTTGCACATGAAGTGTCAGTCAAATGCAAAGATGGAACAGTCAAGCAGTTCAAGACTGAAGTTCGTCCTTTGAACAAGATTTGTTGGGAGTGTTCGTATTGTCCTGACATTCTCGCAAAGGCGACAGATGATGATGCACCTGCCGGAGAGCTGGACGTCAAGGATTTGCAAGATCCTGTTCATCTGCACGTGCCTGTGTATGATCGGACAAAGTTGTTGCCACCTCCGATCGCTTGGTTGAGGTCAGAAGGTTTGACTAAGGATTGTAAAGCATGTGATGCTATTCGAACCAAGGGTACTAGAAAAGGACATACACATAGCAGAGGATGCTTTCGTCGATATACTGACTGGGTTAAAGCACAACAAGAGAAGTTTGAGGGAAAGCCTGAAGCGGCCAAGAAATCCAGTCGAGCTGAATTGGAAGCCAAACCAAAAGATGGTTCAGTTCCGAAGATGGTAGTGCCTCCAGATGCGAAGCCATTTCGACCATCAATACCTGTTTCCTCCCCTGATCATCCAACCAAAGGTCTTAGGTATGAGAGTAAGCGTCCGCCTGGTTCGCTTCAGCCTCCAACAGTGGTTGAACAGCCACCTGAGACACCTTCTCTGCCTAGTGTACCACCTCCAGTGATTTTGCCAGAAGAAGATGTTCGGATGGATCGGGATGGGGAAGACGAGTCCGAGCCCAATCGCGTGATCGATGTCGAAATGGAACCAGCACCATTTCCGCCACTTCGAGCTGACTCAGAATATGAACCAACTGAGCCTCCAGAGGATATGGCAGTTGACCCAGAGCCAGATGACATGGATATTGGAATGTTTCTTTGTCCACCGCCAGAGCATTCAGGTGCAGGTCACGGCATTCTGTTTCCAATCTTTGTGCCGAAAGGAAAGGACTTAGATGGAGTTCGTGCGTCGAAGTTTTCATTGTGTGGGACAGACATCTTTTTGATCGAACCGTCGCAAGCAGTGTCAGAAGATGGTATGACCAATTTCACTGTTGAACAGGCCATCAAAGGTCGGGAAACAGAGTTGACAGCCATGCATGATTTAGATGTAGGTGATGTTTTGGGAGAGGAGGAAGCCCTTGCATTGTGCGCTTCTCGAGGGACTCAGGCCATTCCATGCAGATGGGTTCTAACAGAGAAAGAATCCAAAGGGGAGTTGATTTGCAGGGCACGATGTGTTGCTCAGCAGATTGCTCGGCTTGAGCCGTCGGCAATGAGGCTAGGTATTTCATCTAGCACACCTTCTCTAGAAAGCTTCAGGATCGTGTTGACCTTGATCTCTGTTTGGGATTTGGTGTGTGAATCGTTGGATATCAGTACAGCCTTTTTGCACTCCGACTTACCTCCAGGAGTCACGGCAGTGGTGCGATTACCAACAGACCTCTCCATGAGTGAAACAATGTACAAACCTGCATTTTTGGACTTGCGTAAGGCAATGAATGGCCTTCGGTCAGCAGCAAAAGCTTGGTTGTTGACTTGTTCCAATGAGTTGAAGGAGATTGGTTTGATCAGTTCGCCATCTGAACCCACCATCCTGTGCGGACAGTTGAAAGAAAGTAGAGCTTTTGGAGTCATCTTGATCTACGTGGATGATTTGCTGATTGGGGCCTCTAGCAAAGAAGGAATCCAAGAAATCAAGGATACCTTGGGTTCTAAGTTGAAGGTGAAATCCACAGGAGTAATCGGTAACTCGAAGACCGAGGGAGGTTCCATTACGTTTCTTGGAAGGGTTGTTCGTAGATTGCCATTTTCGTCCAACATACAAGTGAGAGTTCATCCATCGTATCTTGAGACGGTTTTCCAAGAGTTCGATGTGAAGCCAACCACCATTCCGCCAGATCTCCTGATCGACTTAGGCAAGATCAGTAAGAAACCTGATGAGGTTGAGAAGTTGAGTCCTGAAGGAGCACAACGTTATCGAAGGATACTGGGACGTGTTGCCTGGTGGGGCCAGTCGAGACCAGACCAAGGGAGATTCATCAGTCTCTTGGCGATTGGCCAAGGAGAACCAAATCAGCATCATGAAAATGCTTTGAGGAAATACCTTCGTTTTGTTCGTGCAATTTGTCACTCATGGCATGTGTTTCCGACTGAGTACGTCATGGCAGTGACTTGTCCAAATCAGGAAGGGCTCCTAGTTGTTTCGGATGCTTCTTGGGGTCCAAATGACATGGAAAAGCGAAAATCCACGACCGGGGGAGCCATCTATTGGCATGGATGCCTGTTGAAGGCAGTTTCACGAGTTCAGGGATGTGTGACTTTGTCATCATGTGAAGCAGAAGTCATCTCCTTGTGTACAATGGTAAAAGAAGCCATAGGGATTCGACACCTTGTTGAGTTTGTGAGCAGATTCGACAGAGTTCATGACTTGGAAGAAATGGTGAACACCAAAGCAAATTGGGAGTTCGATGTGGTTGGAAGTAGCAGTTTGGACTACCAGCCAATTCATGTGTTGAGCGATTCGGAATCGTGTCTAGCAGTCATGAAGAATGATGGACTGAGCAGAAGAGTCCGTCACTTGTCGTTGTCGGTTTGCTATGTACAGGAGTTGGTCAACAACGGTGTTGTTATCTTGAACTGGGTAGGTACAGCAGATTGTGTTGCAGATCTTTGCACCAAGATCCTTCCCAAGGAAGCGCATTTTCGGCATGCAGAGAATTTAGGGATTGTAGATGTTGACCCGCCAGAGGGTTGGCAGTTGGAGTGTTCGAAGCAAGCTTCGAAACGGAAACCTAGGGTTTCAGATCCAGAGGGATCGAGTAGTTCACGAGGTGAACGTGCCGAACATGAGGTTCAGGCGGATGTGTCCCGTGAGAGGACGGTGATGTTCGATTCGGAATCGGACGTGCCTGACGATGATCAGGTGGGCTCTGAGCTGGCTAGCAAGCTAGAGCTGGACTTCGCGAAGAAGTTGGTGCCCGTAGAGGTGTTGCCCTTAGAGGTGTTGCCCAGAGAGGTGTTGCCCACAGAGGTGTTGCCCACAGAGGTGTTGCCCGTAGAGGTGTTGCCCGTAGAGGCGGCTACACGATGCCTTCAGTCGTTCCGAAAGAGGTTGATACAGATTGCATCAGCCATCCATATGGGTCAATGCACACACGTGATAGTGGATGTTTGTACTAGTGGCAGAGCCGGTTTTACCCAGATTGAAAACAAGTTTCCTAAGTTGAGAGTTGTTTCAATCACCTTGGATACCCCTTTATCACATGTGTGTAAGATGACTTGTGATTGGATGCAGCAGATCGGGAATTTAGTGACCATCCTTGCTTGGGGATCACCACCGTGTACTGGTGGAAGTCCTATGTTGCAGCTCTGTTCGAATGGGAAGAGTCTCTATGAACGCCATTGGTCCGAGTTTGTCCCAATTCTCCATGATGTTGAATCAATTTTCCAAGAGGGGCATGTCAAGGCGTTGGAGCTTTCGAAGAGTTGTAGATACTGGAAAGAGCAAGAGATTGAGTTGTTTGTGGAACGTCAAGGTCTGAAGCATGAGATCGTGGTAGCGAGATGTGCGTTCTCGACAGAAGAGGTTCGAGCGAAGCACGAGTATAGGATCATGAGCAGTCATGATGAGTTGGCCAACAAGAAGATGCCGGTGTGTAAATGTTTCAAGCATGCGCCCCTGAATCATCAGGATTCGAAGAGTCTTGGTTTATATCCTTATCGTTTCGCACTAAGGTTTGCCAGGAACTTCATGAAGATTTAAATGAGCTCGTCAGTGTTTTAAGATGCATCACAGAAAGTATCACTCTAAGTTTGGCCAGACAAATAGATAGTTTTTCTTGATTCAACTAAGTTGAACCAATCTTCATCTTTTGCTTAGCCATGTCCGACACTCCGGATTCGGGTACCTCTGCAAGAGAAGCTCGGAACCTGGGTGAACCCTATGTTGCAGAAGATGATTTGTTTCATCTCTTAGCAGATGATGTGCGTACAGCAGATCAATCTCCAGACCATCCAGAAAGGTTGGACAATGTTGCGGGAGTGAGTTCAAGTGATCCACCTAGAGGTCCACAAAATGATACCGGATCCAGGGTTGATGCTCAAGGGATTGTTGCACCGCGTCGAAGTTCAGCAGGAACTGTGATGACCACCTTTAGCAGAAGGGAAGTGGTGCATTTCTCCACGTGCCACCATTTGGCACGAGCCGATGTTCGTCGAAGCCGATTTCTTGAGTACAAGACCTGCGAGTGTATCAATTTTGATCTTGTGGAATCTGGACGCCAGTTGTATGGCGATTTTCCGAGAGAAGGTTCACAAGAGCGATTCTTGCACATTGGTCCATACTGCGCTTTTCGGCAGTCGGACACCTTGGTGAAATATCGAGTGTGTGCGAATTGCTATGAGTCGAAGCCACGTGGGTGAGATTCGAAGCTGGAGAGAAATTTCGAAGTGTTTCAAGTTTTTGCTGAGATCCACAGTATTCCGGTCCTAGTTCCTTGATTGTTTTCGATCATTGGAATGCAGATTTAGATGTTCCGATGAGCTGTGGAAGAGAATTCTTTTAAGCAACAGCCGTTCAGCATGGGGGGGTGTGAAGCTCCATCCGTGCTACATGACATCTTGCAGTGTACGCTTCTAGTGTATGCTGAAGACTTGTTGCTGGGAATCAGTACACCATAAGTACTCTGTCAGAGCCGAGCTCGACAGTTCTCCATATGTAAAGACTAGTGAACCAAAGGCCACGCTGTAGCATTTGAAGCTATTTTTGGCAGTGCTTTTGGAGAGGAATGGACGGATCATCCTGTATATCACAAGATCCACAGATCCATTTACTGACAGTCACCCGACACCAGAAACCAGAGGTCAATCGGGTATGCACTCGTTGCATTGGCTCAAGTGGAAAAAGAGCGTGAGCGAGTACAGTTGCTCTTCATGGATCCCTGGTCCACGATGTAAGCTTGATCTTTGTCGGTGGGTCAACCAAGGTACAGTATCTTGGCGTGTTGATCGGCAGCCTTCACCTAGGAAGCCGGTCGGATGTGGAATTAACACATTTGAAGACAACTCATCATATGAGTACACGACAGAATTACTGTAAGTCAGCAGTAGCCTTCAGCTGGACATCGTTTTTGGAAAAAATGATTTGACTGCAAAACCGGTAGGGGCCCACCCAAAACCGATAACATGGGTGATGGCCCACCCAAAACCGATACCCCAAAGAGTTGTAGATGTATAAGAAAACCTGAGACCGATAGGGTACCACCAAAATACATGTAAAGAGATGCCGAAACCTGAAAACCGATAGGGGCCCACCCAAATTATAAACATCCTTTGCGGGTAATAAGTAATATTGTCTGACACTCATACGTATATATGCATCGCAAAGAGCACCACAATGCACAGCATCATGGGACACACATTGACATCCAACATCATTACATGACCTATTTATCACCTGACAACTCGTCAAGTTTGCATTGATTGAAACATTGGGCCGCCTGGCCGCCGGATGGTACCTGGTAGAGTTTACTGTATTCTGGTGCAACACATGACCAATGTTACAATGTTGGTGGACGTTTTGGAAATGCTTTTCGAAGGTCCAGGCAACATTCATTTGTCTCCCCTTTACACGGCCAAGCAAGGAAACGCAACAAACACTTGTTTTGAGGCTGATAGGTCGCAGGCATGTCAGGTGCTCCATGAGCAGTAGCATGATGTAGTGCACTTTGGAATCCGTTTCGCAGGTCGTGGTGTGACGGCCTTGGATTTGGCGGCGGAACATGTGACAGGCGGCTCCAACTAGCACGACGGCGATAGCGCAGCGACACGATGTGAAGGATGTGGTCATGTCGGAGTTTACAAAGCCGTGGTTTCAAAGCCACCCTGTAGGTGATCACCAAAACGAGCCCTGAAGAGTTATTTGAACCCTTTTGAACCCATGGAAAGGCATGAGGTCCAATAGTTCTACTTCCATCCAATTATCTAGAATGTGGGGCAACCGAGAAGGGGATATTCAGGTGGTTTTGTGACCATTATTGAAAACTTTCTGAATTAAAGATCTTGTAGAACATGCACCTACACTCCCAGCTACCAACATCAAGTCAAAAACATTGAGATGATTCCACTTAGTCGGAGATTCGTGCTCGTTCCTGAAATGCTAGGCTGGCCCTTGTTTCGTGTTCAAAAGGATGTGTGATTTAGTTTAAGATCTTATTTACACTCCTTGCATTAATAATTGAAATGGAAATCCACCCTGCTTGGTCTTCGGATTTCATGGTAATGCCATCCACATAGCCATGATTCTTCCAGGGAGTGTAGGGAGCTTCGTGTGATGGTCCTCTACCAACAGGTGGTGAACTCCACGTCCAATATTGTCACAGGGAGCGTGATGCAACATTCTAAACAAAACCGCAGAAACAGGTGGTGGACTCCACTTCAATGATTCGGAGAGTGAGGTTTTCTGTGTTATCGGTTTCTGCCTGAAAACCAGATCACACCTTCTTTGTCCATGTCCTCTGTGCGGGCGGCGTACAGGCGAAAGCCCAGCGCATGGGCCGCACGCGGTCCCAGCGCGCTCCACCCAGGTGCGGACGTGGCAGTTCGCACAACCATGAGAAGTCCGTGTTGCACCACACCCCCGAAGGGCAGTTACTTGTTTGTGTAAGGCTTGCCAAAGACCTGTCTTGTTCCTCAAGATGGGGGGTAACTTGTGCCATCTACTTCTTCAATCCACTATAGATGGGATGTGGAAGATGCTTTTGCTTTGACCTGGATGGTCTTATTGGGTGCAGGTTCCGACCAACTGGTGGCTCCTCTGGGTTGACCTCCCAGGTATTCCAGGTAGTCTATTCTGTTCATTCGCCAGGTGGTCAGCCAAGAGGAAAACCATGAGTTTTCGGCAAGTGCAAAAGGAAAAACGAGGTGAATTCTTGAGTTCGCTTTTAGCAAGTGTCCCCATGTGCATCGCCAACATAGTGACCCGATGTTGTTTGGCCATGTCATGTGCTGCTTGATCAAATCGCAAGCAAACCTGCTTTCACTCGCCGATGCGAACGTGCAAGTCCTAATCGTAATCGTGGCAAAGCTTGTGACAGTCTATCCTTTTTGCTCATTCTTGCTCGATGTTCGAAGAACAGAGGCAAAACCCTTCAGACTTCAGACATGACGAGTCCGAACACGAGTCGCACGAGTCCAAACCTGGAACAATCTCTCACGTGCCTGCAGGTCAAACTGAACCGAAGTCTCGTTCGAAAGGAAAACGCATTCTTAATTAAGGACTATATGGATCATATCTTGAAAGGTAACGCTTTCAATTTAAGAACTGCACATGTATTTGTTACATGTACTTAGTTTTCAAGCAGGCTCGTTGGTTTCACTGCTACCTTGCCCGTATCGGTTTTTTCAGGCGCCGCTCTCCGGACCTGTGAAGACACTGAAGCTCAGCTCCGAGGCGGACGGAGAGAGCGGAGCGCGAGACGGCGCGGCAGCACCGGCGGTTTTGGTCGAGCCACAGACAGACAGAGGTTCTGGTACCAAAGTCCTGACTCTTTTTGTGGCATGTTTTGCGCAATGTCATTGTGGCACATGTGGTTTTTAGATGTAAGACTCGAGCCGAGTGTGCTAACATGTGCTAACTATTGGTGGGTGTTGCTTGCCTCGAGCAAAAGGCTTGCACTTTGGTGTGCTTAGAGTTTAGTCACTGACACGTCCTGCTTGAACAGATCTAGATTGGTGTTTGGGAGGGCAATGACAAACATTCCATGCACCAATCTATGCATTGACATTGGCTGTGTCAGAAACGCCTCGTAACGTCCAAGACACGTTCCTGCATTTGTTTGTAACACGTGTTTCCAAAGGAATGGCTATCGAATCTTCAAGAATGAGGAATGATCTCAAGGTCGCATTTGTAGATTGTGGTGTTCTAGGGCTTGGTGATTGGGTGGTATGTTAGTTCTTGTTTGGTTGTCGGGTTTTTGTGCGCCTCCAATGTTCCTCCGCAATCACCACCATCAATTCAGCAACGCCTGTTAGGTTCCAACAGGGCAATGAAAGGTGCGCCCCTGCTAAGCAGGTTTATGATAAGACATGAAAAATGCAATGTAATGCTCCAGTGCCGCACACTTGTTCCCTGCCTCTTTGCACTGAGCGAATTGGTATTGTAGCTGACAAGCGGTGCCGTGCGATGCCACCCAAAGTTTTGAGAAGGTCCAAGCAGCAAGAGAAGAGACCCCACGGTTACAGTGGACTTTCTTATATTAGATATAAATAGTATTATACGGTGGTTTCAGAGTTGATGGCACAAACCCTAAGATCTCTTTTAGATGAGGGCCCATATCAACCACCAATCTTGGGGTTGCCATCCACTCTGAAGCCCAACAAAAAGTGACCAGAGGCGTCATACCATGTGACGTCAGTCCGAGACTTCGCCCGTGGGATGCCAACGTCCTTGGCACACGACCCACGTCGGTAGAGAGTGTCCTCGTTTCGCCCTCCCTCCGTACTGCAGATGGATGATGATTTGGACCGGATCTATCGGAAGAAGGACCGGATGGTGGCCGGGTTGGCGGGCCTGATTTCCTGACGGACCCAAAGGTTCTCAGTCTTGTGGTGTACCTACTGGAGGAGTACTATTTCAAAGAATACGACGTATCATAAGGTGTCAAAACCTGCTGATTGGGTATGAAAGCGACATATTGTAATTATCAACAAACACTCATAATTGTTTCTGTCTTCTTTCATTTCGGGCAACTCTTTCAGTTAAGTTAAGGACGGCGGCTGGGAATGCCTGTTGGGTAAGCATCAGGGCTAGCTGCTAAGGACCTCCTGCAAGTCAAAGATGAAGAACGAGAGGATAATGTGTTGGAGGAATCCCAAAAGACTTCGCAGAACTCGTTTTGGAGTGTTTTGCGTGACCCCATCAACCGGAGGCGGTGCGTCAGCGTGCGCACCGTGTTCAGTTGCGAGGTGTCGGTGATGTTCTCGCAATGGACCTTTCAACATGGCCTGCCTTTGGTGTCTTGGCAGCGACGGCAACTTGCTTCATGTTGGGTTAGGAGCTGGTGGCCTTCCTGGAGGTTCCAGGAGGCAGCCTCCTGCCTGGGTTAGCAGCGACGGCAACTTGCTTCATGTTTGGGTTCTTGGGATTGTCCCTGCAGGTGGCTTTCCACTGCTCGATTGGTGATGTCTTGAGTGATGTCATATTTTGCACCCTACACATGCAGCTGCAGGTGGCTTTCCATCGAACCTATTAATTGCTTCGCTCTAAATGGCGTCGCGTCGACGTGACGGCCACTGGCGAGACCCAGAGACGCATTTGTTGTAGACCTTGGTGTCCCAGGTCCTTTTTTGACATGGAAGCAAGACATTGAATCTTAAGTTGTGCTGGGCGGATGTTCAAAAGCAACTGCTTCAGGTGATGAAATGGCCGTCTTGGCTGACTTGAAAAATCCTCCTCACAAGAAGGTCATTGTGCTCCCACATTTTTCCAGCTATGAGCACCCCTTAACTGGCGGTTGGAACCAGCCATGGGCCCCGTGCGTGGAATGCAGCCGAAGGTCTTGTTTGGGCTAACTTGTTTGGCTCAGGCGAGGCAAGGTGAGCCCCTACACACCAAGACTTTCCCAACTGCTCAAGTGGGACCGAACTATTTAGTCAGCTGGATTGATATAGGTGATAGATGGTGATAGCTCATGTTGACTAAACATGCAGTTGAGTTAGCTTACAACCCATTCTTTGTCAACTGTTTAGCTATGTCTTCACAACTTGGCCCCTCTTGAGCCAACGATCGAACGAGCGAAACAAGGCTGACATGCAACAAAGTCTCGAAAGGGAGACTCAGATCGGCGGCGGTCGCCATCGATGACCAGGTCGAGAATCGATTGTGAGGGACCTTCGAGGATTCGCCATCGATGCGTCATGGTGTCTTAGTGGGTCTTACATTGGTCATTATATGAGCAACCACTTTTGTTGAGGTAGACTACTAAAGTAGTCTACGGCATGCTCTATTTGCTTGTCTATCATAGTATTCGCTTGTGAACGAGATAGGGCCCCCACATAAACGAGATAGTGTGATTTGCTACTAAAGTAGTCTGAGCATGTCTGAGCAAGATACTGTGACATGACCTCCTGCTTAAGTAGTCTAAGCGAGATGGGGGCCCCACATAAGAGATAGCGTATTTGACCCAAATACCAAATTAATGCCATCGCACATATGTATATATATAGAGAGATATATATAATATACATATAATTAATGTTCTATTACTATATACAGTATATATATATATTGGTTAATGCATATTAATGCATTCACAGTCACAGACATTGCAATTTGGCTCGTGTGTCGTGGTGTTTTAACAGACATGGAACTCTGACCTTTGCCCGAGGGGGGTATGTGGAACACCGTGGGTCGCCGGATCCTTCCGCGGATCACAGCAGAATCATGTTCACCGGACGTGTTCCTGTGATGAGCAGACTACGGCCTTTGCGGAGGACCCTTTTTTCCTACCAGCCAGGTGCTCACCCGCGCAACTGAACAGGTGGGAGAGCATTAACTGTTGACCTGGAAAGCTAGAGGGGTCAGTTTGAGAGCGCTGGAGGGCACCTCCCTGCGCCTGGTGAGGCCTCCCTTCGGCAACTGCCACGGGAGAAGCTGAAGGCGCGACTGTCCGGCGCGTAATCCGGAGTGACGTGCGACAACGCGTTCCTTATAGGGCTCCCCCCCACGTAGGGGTGATGATGTTGTTGCGCCTAGGGTTAGGATGTCCATGACAGGTGTCCATGACATACCTATCCCTATTGCAGATGGGGTTGACCGTTGAGGAACAAGTTCGCTTACCCATGTTCCAAGTTCGCGGACGTTCGCAGACGTCCAAGTCCATTACTTCGAAAAAGTCCTGTACAGATTTGTCTCTACCAGGACCCTCCAAGGGGTGTCCAATGGACAACCCACACTACCTATAGGCTTCCATTGGGCACCCCTTGGAGGGTCCTGGTATAGTGTTTGTTTTGCGTTTGGTTGACAGGTAGGATACAGCAAATTTCAGAGTTGTTGAAGACATCAGTTGCCTTTCCAGGTACCAAAGATGCGTTCGGCAGACGGTCGCGGTCCCACTTCCCCTTGGATGGATGGCATTCGATCCATGCGTTCTGTACTACGAGCCCTTTCAACAAAGAGCAGCCTTCAATCAAGCTTCACAAGCCTTCAAGCTCTAGTTGGATTGGCCTGGCATTCACCCAAACCCAAACGGCCTTCGTGCAGGTGTGGCTGGATGCCTTTGAAAAGCAGTGGATACCAGACGCTGGGTCGCCATTTGTCAAAGCTTTTCCCCTTTCTGGCCGTGCGGTGTGCTCTAGAAAAACCTGCACTGCACTTCTCTTGTTGGATTCAAACCGTGCGTTCCACGGTTCTTCTCGGTGTTTCTTAACGCAATGCTTTTCACGGCACGGCCCCCCGAACGGAGCTGGGATCCCCAGGAGATGCTGAATGCGGACAAGGTCATCCGCCGCCCAGCCATCCTCGAGGAGGCGCCCCGCGCGTGTCGCTGATGACCGTCGCGACGTACATAGGGACGTCGCGCTGCATGGCTGCATGGAGCGAGGTGGAAGAGTGGGAAGGACGAAAGCCCCAGGGGACCAAACGAGAAATACCTTGCAAAGACAATACATGGACCCTGACAAACAAGGGAGAAAAGTCCATGAACTCAGACAGAGAGAGCCCTGAAGTGGGAGCAAAGAATGTGTCGAGATGTGTGGGGTAGTAGAGCTGGTGAAAATGCTGTGGATACACCCCCGGCAGAGGACCAGATGGAACCTCCTCGAACTCACCGGGTTGGTAATCGGAAAATGGTGACCACGTGCCCTGGACCCTTTCGACCACGAAGAGGCCGATGGTTCTTTTTTGGTATACGTTTGATTCTATAGTTCTATAGTATGACTCCTTTTGATACGTCGCATTGGGAAGTTTGGAATTAAGTGGTGAAGAAAAGCACATTGGTTGGAGCAGCAGGTCTTCCCACCCACCATCACGCTGATTGCAAGCAGCTCGGTGCAACTCAGCACTCACTTACACCCCTTATATACTAATTACAGTGGTTTAAGAGTAGGTGGCACAAGCCCCAAGATGTCCTTTGGGGGATGTGAAATCTACTCTCAATCCATTACTTTGTATTGTCTGATTCAGTTGGAAAGTTCACACCCACAACAGTCCATGCTCACCACCATATCACTCTGCTGCATGCACTGGCGTGCCTTTGGGACAGGAAGAAGCGCAAGCCATTTCTTCTGCCCGGAAACCTGTTGGAGGATGTTGCAGGGGTGTGGTCTCCAACGGGTCTCCAACGGGTAGTTAGCATGTTTATGTTGTGTTATGTTTGTATTGCGGCTCCGACGAGAATTCGCCGGGTTTTTTGTCCAGCGGCTGGTCTAACAGTCTAACGGTCTAAGTGAGCCAAAGTGCTAAAGGTCAGCGCTCAAGTTTCAAAAAAGGATGTCAGAATTTCCTTGAAAATAACGATGTCAATCCCACTGGTTCAAACAATATACGTTCAACCTGCATCCTTCGACTTGGAGGCTTGCTTCCTGACACGGACTATATTGTGTAGCAGTTGACTCACCAGCCCAACATGGGACTCCATGAGTTGTGCAATATGTTGGGTGTTAAAAGATCAAGCGCCCCGCCCCGCCCACTGGAAGCCTTTCGCAGTGGGCCCCTCGCATGCCGACTGCCGACCAGGTGATCGATGGCAACGCTCGCGTGGGTCGTGCCGTGACGCGACGGACGCGCATCCAAAAGGCGGCAGACGCGACCGAAAAGGGTCCGCGCGGAGCGAGTCGCTCGGGGTATCCATCTTCCGGAGCCGGAGTTACTGTGCAAGTTCCTTATAAAAGTTCCCCAAAAGTGCTAGTTGTTGCTTAGTTGCCTCTGTTAATCCTCTTGACATTTGTCATATTGGCTGGATGCAGCGTTTGGATGCTGGTGTTCTTGGATGAAACATGAAGAAACCAAGGAAATGGCACCTCTTTAGAGGCCGTCAAAAAAGGGGAGAGATCAAGCAACATCAATCAGACTTCATTTTGCCTAATCCCAAGGCCAAAAAGGAAAGGGTTGTCAAAAGGAAGCTTCGTAGAATCTGACCCATACCGTCCCCCAGACCAGTGTGATGTGATCTCGCAGCTCCGTGGCTGTTGAGAGGAGCAATAACAAGCCCATGCCTGGCATTCGTTGTGAAGGTATCGACTGCTTGCGTGAAGTTCCTTCTACAGAGAAGGGAGCAAAACAGACCTTAATCTTACCTGCTTGTTTATGTTATTGTGCTGAATGTGCATTATACACACCCAACACACCAATGCCCAAGCACGCAGTGTCACCTTCTCAAGCAATCATCAATTGACTCACGGGGTGCATGCAATTTCTGACGGAAAGGTTCAGATGAAGAAGATGTGGGAGTCGACCCTGGCCACTTGGCTCCACAACTTGCTGCTGGTGAATCGGTGATGATGGCAGAACGTGTGACCGATCTACAAGCTCCTCACAAGTCACAAGCTCTTTTGGAAGATTATGTGCTTGCTATTTGTTTGGGTATGGTTGGCACCCCACTTCACTTCGGGTCCTGTCCAGCGGCTTTACCCAAAGGCGAACCTCTTAGAGAGTAGGAAAGATGGAAGTTATGCTGTAGTTCGAAGCGGATCTGCTGGCTGCAGCTGAATCATTGCCCCTGAAAACCTTTGGGGATGTAGAGGAAAATGGTCTTCCGCAAGTCCAGTTTTCAGGCAAGGGTATGGGAAGGTTGATGGCTGAGAGGTGCCCATGGCCGCATCCAAGACGCCCAAGATCTTGACTTCAACCTGCCGAGGAGAAGGAAGAAACTAAGTTGCGAGTCGGGGCCCAAGAAAATTGGGGAATCATCCGTCCAAGGAGTACTGACTCGGTGGTCCAGGGTTTTCAAGGGCTTGCGGGATGTGTTTTCCCGAGTTAGGTCCAAGCTAAGCACTGAGAATTTGTTACATGGTCCTCATGTTTCATTTCTGTCAGATTCTGATGCTTGGCTTTGTGTCAACAGTTGGCATTGTGGTTCCCTCGAATCGCAGAAATGATGCAGTTGCATTGTTTTATTGCGGGCCGGAATAATCGACGAGATCGACGAGCATTGTGAACATTGTCGAAAATTGGCTGGAAAAGTGTGCCACGGCATCAGCATTTCATTGATTTAAAGCAACAACTGCAATTCCTCAATTCCTTATCTATAGTTTTCTTGGATTGCTTCTGATCTTCCCTTTCTAGTGTTCTATCTTTTGGCGGGGCTTTGGGAAATTAGTCCAAAACTATGTTCACCGCAGACTAACAAAGTGCTAAGTGTGCACAGAGGCCAAATAAGCATCACTAGCATTTTGTTTTGCTGGATAACAGGAGTGTCCCTGTCCCCAAGTGGTTTCTGTATGCTACAGGAAGAACACTTCAGAAATCACCGTGGTTGCCTCCTCAGCCGTCTCTAGATCTCTAAAGCGACCACGTTTGTCCGGCGCTCTGCAGAGAAGGAACGATCTGAATGACTAGATCGAGTGGCTTTCTGAGGACACAGGTAAACATCATCAACTGCAAAAAAGAACAGTGACACCTGGCTCAAGCAGAAAGACTGGCCAGACATGATCTGGAGGGCAAGAAAACACCAGAAAGTTCCATCACACAGCACTCCCACAGGACTGCTACAGGGCTGTTGCATACAGCTGCTTTCTTCTCAAAGTGTGTCCTAGCATTTTTCCATATCAAGGAAAATATGCGATTGTTACATGGAGTCTTGACAATGCCACGTACAAGCACTGCAAGCAGATGATATAATGACTCTGGCCCTTCAAGCGGTCCCGGTACCACCAGCGTCACAGATCACAGATCACAAGGCCCTGCATGTTTCTCCAACAGGTTCTTGTTGCTTGACTTCCCCTTCAAGATAGCAGCCAGGGATGATCATAACCTGAAAAATCACCAGGGTGGCTCTCCCTTTGAAGTCGCTTTTGGGCCAGGTGAGACAGCCAAAATGTACACCAGATTCCCTACCTGAGGTGGCTTTGCGATGGACCCGCCTGGTCTTCTGGGCAAGCTGTGGACAGCTTACAGTCTTCAAGGCTGTGGCTAGTCGATCATGGCCCTGTGGTCCAACGCCCCACCAGAGAACCTTCATCCTTTTTTGTTTTTTTTTTTCACATGCGTTCATATGGATGACCAGCTCGTAGGATGCAGTTGAATTTTGCCAAACAGATCTACCAACAAACCAATTTGGCCGCCAGTGTGACTTCTCTTGTGGCCTGAGATCTTGGTTTGGGGTCAGTCTCGAAGGGTCAAGGGTCGCTACTCCTTCGAAGTCGAGGCACATCTTTGCAAGTCCCAGACACGACCCATGGGACTGTCATAGGACTGCCGAGAAACGGCCAGCATTGCTTGAACGGGGGTCTGGCTTGATCGGCAGTCCTATGGCAGTCCCATTAGTCGTGTTTGGGAGTGTGTTTCTTCAACTGGAACGACAATGCATGGATGTTGAAGGACCCGACGATTTGAACTCTCCCAGTTGGGGACCCCAGGTGTTCCGGAGCCGGTCCCGGTCACGTTCCACCTCTCTTGGCATGCATGGATGTTCCGGTTGATGTTTGCTGGTTTCTATGAGTCTCGATCATTTATGCCGGCCACTGCCCTCCAGATTGCACATCTCAGATGCATCACACTGCCAGGGATCCCAGAGCAGCTGTGCAGTCGACGCATGTTTGTCCTAGTTCAGCTGGCAGAACACCTGCCACCAGAAGCCATGATCCACACACACACTATGTAGAGCTTGCTGCAGTAGGTAAGAAACGAAATCTGCGACATTTGCTGGCCGGCTATGTTTGACTGTGTGGCACGACCGTCATGAAAACCCATGAAACAAACCCTTCCTGGAAGACACGGCCTTGATCCACCAAGCACACACTTTGGGGGTTGTTTGGAGGCCACAGGAGATCCAAAGGGGCAACATTTGCTCAACTGCAGCACTGAGTGAGACGTGTCTAGGTGCTTCTACTACCTCTTGAAGGTAGTTAGACCACCCCACCCCCACGACCTCTACACCCTGCCAAGCCGGGCCTTTCGGACCACCGAGAGCTCCGAGGCGAGAGAGGTGCAGCCAAAGAAAGGAACCGCTTCCGGAGGCCGGATGCCTTTTCCTGGTCGGTGGAGGTTGGCAGAAAGTGGTCAACATCCTACAGGGATGTTCTTCTTCACTCGAACGTGAACGCATGTTTTGTGTTGACAAATGGCTTTCGCGAAAGCCATCCCAGCGCAAAAGAGGACTGCAGAAGAGTCAGAAGATCATATAAGCCAAAGCAATGAGGTTTCAGTTTACATGCGCAGCAGGTAGTGGGAAGGCATCCTCACTGTCAGGCACCAGTTTTGCATCCATATGCTTTGCAGGCCATTTGTATACAACAGGTTGAGAGTGACCTTTCTGAATCGTTTTCGAGCAGCATGCGTAATGTTTGTGGAAGTGGTTGCAATGGGAGACTCATAGACATGTTAAAGCTATAAGTTTACTTTGGTGCAAGCATTGAAGCCTTGTGAACCCATCAATTCGCCTAATGCGTTTACGCACAGGTGCAAGAATCCTTCGTCCCTGACTTGCTGTAGATCTGTTTCATGAGAAAGGACCATGGCCCTTGAAGAGGGTCATTTTTCGGTGAATCGCTGCTTGTTCACCGGCAGTCAAAGCAGTCTTGTGCACCAGGCCGGTTATAACTCATGACTCATGACAGGACGTGTACGCACATTTTTCGCGTATCATATTGCAAAATATGTGCAAAACATGTGCAAAACAACTCAGCAGCGCAATTGAACGCTGTCAGTAACTAGAAGGTTTAAAACAGTAGTTCATCTGGACATGCACATGTCCTTCCGCAGACTTCCACACTGTTTGTGATCCAGGTTCGCCATGTCTCCAAAACCCTTTGATGAGAGGCTCCAGTATCACGCTCGTCGCTTCCAAGGAAAGCACCCGCAGAATGTGCTGAAGAGGTACGAGCAGCGGCTTCACCTGGTGCTGAACGCTGAGGAGCTGCAGCAGAATGCGTTTCATGTTGCTGCATGGGTTGCAGAGCTTCCAGCTGAACAGATTTCTTTGCAATATGGTGGTTTGTCTGCTGTGACGCTTTTGCGGCAATATTTGCATGCCCTCCACCATGAGCAAATCCTTTGCGATCACTTGATCAACGTGCTGAGAAAAGCATTTGAAAGGATCAATGCTAATTCTGATGCTGAAAGACAGTGGCCAGGTCTGTTGAGTGATCTTCGGCGGTTTCTTCCAGAGACCAAGGCTACAAAAGCGGCAAGGCTCATGAACAAAGCGATACAGGTTTGGAGAAACACCACATGTGAGACGCAGCAAGAGGAATACGTGGCGTTGTTGGAGCAATCACTTGGTGAAGTTGCAAGTGACGACACATGCCAGATCCGCTCCATTTTCCGTCGTGCTGTGGCTGCATTGTCCCCACCACGTGTCACAAGTGAGCATTCTGGAAGCACAGCAGATGGTGTGCCACAGCCAACAGGAGCCAAACGAGATTTTCAATTTCGGCTTCGGAGCATTGTTCTGAGATGTCTAGATCGCTTAGATTTGGCCGATTTCAGACTGCAGCCGGCAGTGCAGTTTCTCAAGTCGCTTCTTGGTAGATTCCAGGAACTTGACAAAGACACAAGCGAGATCAAGATCGGTTGCAGAAAGCAGTGGTGTTTGCTAGAGACAAAGTGCGGCTTGTTTGCCAGAGTTGTCAGTTCCACAGAGGACTTTGGGATTAAGCGCAGACGCAAGGCGCATTGCCCACATGGCAGGCTGAAGTTCAATTGCCCGAAGTGCAGCCCATGTCAACATGGCAAGACGAGGGGCAAATGTGAGAAATGCAATCCATGCCCACATGGCAAACTCAAGTGGAATTGTGTAGATTGCGAGGGTTGCAAACATGGGCGAGTCAAGCAAAATTGCCGTTTGTGCAATGCTTGCATTCATGGCCGGAACAAGTACAAATGTCCGGAGTGCAAGCGTCCAAAAAGGCGCCGCAGACATGCCAGGTGGGAAGCAGAGTTTGGAACGGGCACCTGCCTGCATTTGGAGTCGCAAAGGTGCCGTTTTAGGTTGGTCATGATTGGTCATGTCCCATTTTCTCGTGATTTCTCGTGTACTTGAAGTCGGGTCCAGGTACACGTGGGGGTTCTCAGATTGGACTGCCCTTTCCTTCTATGGTTGTTTTGGTGTAAGCTGGACATCAACGGTTGGGTTTTAAATTGTCATACGCACATGGGCTTTCTCCCACAGCTTTACATTGTAAGATATGATATGCAGTCCTTGTCCACATGGAAGACTGAAAGAAACCTGTGTGCGGTAAAAGGTTGCCCACATTCACATGACAAGCTAATTAGCAATTGTGTATGTGCAGTACACCGGCTGCCCACATGGAAAACTAAAAAGGAACTGTGCCGAGTGCTCCGGCTGCCTTTATTGGAGAGTGAAGAGTTGCTGCAGCAAGTGCAATTGCTAGCGTTCATGGCCGGAGCAACCATGCATGCAAGGTTTGCAATGGTTGCACTCATGGCTACGCCTACGCCAAGTACAGGTGCAAAAGGTGCAAGCAGGAAACAAGAAGAACCCGCATGAAATGTACTCCGACTCACTAACATGGAAATGGAAAAGAAACCCTGTTCGTAAATTGAAATGTAGTCTTCCAAGGGACCATGCCATTCACTTCCATGTTAGTGAGTCAGCATCACTTTGCATTCCGTGTGTCCTCCACCTGAGTTTCTTCGCTCAGCTTCTCGTCTCGAACCTTGAAACTCGTAGCTTCTCGCAACCGGCAGAAGTCGTGCCGATCCTCGCCAGGTCGTGGTGTCGGCTCCGTTGGCACCGATTCACCACTTCGAGGCATGGTTGGGTGAAGTGCCTTGTTTGGTGATGTGGCCTTACCCAAGAATCCTTCCAAGATACACGGCCTTGACACCAGCCCAGGTGTCAAGGGCATCATATGGCAAGACGTTAGCCGCTAGCCGTCCGTCGCTGGTTGCTGTCGAGTGGGACCGACTTCACCACGACTCACCAGGCGCAAAGGTCGGTGCTGTTGCTGAGCGACGAGGCAGACTTCGGCCCGGTGAGGGCCTGGTTAACCCGTAAACGCTCACGGAGAACAGGTTGCTTTGGGTGAATCAAAAGGCCCCGTTGCTTTGGGAACTGGAAGATTTACCACCCCATTGACCCCTACAAACCAGCCATATGATACCATATGCCATACATGGGTTGTTTGGGAATTACTAATTCAGGCCCAGGGGCCCACGGAGTTTGGACGTCGGCCAGTGGGGTTGGATAGTGTCCTATTATTGAAGCATTTGGCCGTGTTACTTCGGGAGAAGCTGTCGAAGTGAACAGCACGCATACGATCAGCAAACCGATGCAAACCGTTTTTGGTATAGGTGGAGTAGAAGTTACCGAAAAGGATGTGTGTTTTTTGTTCTGGGGTAAATGGCACACAGCTAAACCATGCTTGATATTTGATAATTACACATCCAGGTGTGAAGTCCGGAGCTCCCGGCTTGACTTCCACTTAGATCAATCGCAGGCTCATTGCGAAGCGTATACTCCAGTTATAGTTCCAATATGTTCCACTGGTCACTGGGCCTTCCCCCACCCTAATAGCTTCCATGGGGCTCACCAAGAATAAAGGTTGCTGCTTCTGCCTGTAGCTACCCTGCCAGCCTTAGCAGAGGAGTTGTTCGTGGGGCCAAGCCCTGACATGGGGCCAGGCCCGAGCGGATTTCCGTGCTGCAAAGGAGGACGCTGAAGGCGGGGCGGCCGGCCAAGTTCGGGCAGCGATTGGAATGGAACTCTGAAAGATAGTGATCCCCAGTTCCTGTATCAAAATGGCCTCCAAGTCCCCCTGCCCAGAATGGGGATAATATGATACAATGTGTGCCTAATTATATATTCTGAAAGAATTTGACTGTCCGTTTGTTTCATCTAACAGGCACTAGGTGCTTCGACCAAGATCTTAGATTCCATTGTTTTACTTATTGTCGAAAGGAACACAAAGGCAGGAAGACAATGTTCACAAACGGTGAGGATGTTCGATTTCCATGTGCATGTTTGGGGCACGCCTGGATACTTTCTCCGAAAATGCCAGAGAGTCCAAGCAGCGGCTAGTGTGTTCCTTCCGAGCACTGGCTCGACGCCCACAGACTTTGGCTCGACGCCCAAAGATTGGTGTTTTCCGGTCGAGCAGCCTGCGTTCATCGATGGGACTCACGCAGGAGTAAGGGGAACTGTGCCGGGCACTTGTGAGGTTTAAAATGGAATTCAACAAACATGCGTGTAGCTCAGAAGAATATTGAAATATAGTAAAGCCGGAAAGGACGAAAGAAGCAACCACCTTTGCATCTCATACTCCACCCACCGTCGCCGGAACCTGTGAAACCCAACCTCGGACGTCCATCATCATGCATACTTGTTGAATAAATAATGTCAATGTGTCTTGTCTGGCGAGGTTGAAACACACCTTCCAACAGCCGCACCGTTGCACACCACAAGCGGCTCATGAGCGGCTCACTAGCCGCATGCGTCGCTGGAATCCACTGGCGCGCGTGACCCGTCGCCATGTGCGACGGCCTTTTGAATTCACCGTTGGACAGCCGCTTTGATGCATTAGAGTGGCCCCAACATAATACATTATAAGACTAGCTTCCAAGCAGAACCGCAGTTAATATCTATGTATATATATATTATATGTTTCTATTATTTGTTTGAGGTGAACAGGCAAGAAATCGGAATGACAGAAGTTCTATCTATCTTTGGCTCTCTTTGGCATCACGTCTACGCACTTAAGGCCAGACAGTTCTGATACTAAAATATGTTGATTACGTTTTGCTCCACATTCCTTCATGGCTCGCCACGTTCCCAAAAAGGCTTGCTACGTACAGTTGGATTTTCAGAGGCATGTCAATGTCATGTTTCTTCTCGAATCATTTGACAGGAAAAGACCCAAAGTTCTGTTTCCTGCGAGGTACAATATTTTGGCCGGCTATGTGGGCAATAACATGGAGCCCTGGTTTCTGTACGGTGTTGACATGCCCGATGCACGTCGCCGAGCCATTTTCCAACTGCATGGAGAGAAGTTGCCGAACGGGCAGTATGCCAACTTCGGTTGGCCCAAGTATGTGCCTTTGGCTAAGCAGGGCTGCTCCCAAGGTAATGCTACACCCCAGACAATCCATGAGACGCCAGCATCTACATTGGGATGGGTGACAATGGGTGTAGGCATAGATTGCATGCATGGTGGGTATTGGGTGCGGTTGGAGAGTTGATGGGTGTGGCGTGGCTCGTTTTCAAGGGTTTCCCTTTTGGGGCTGCGGCCTGCCTTCAGCTGCGACCTGGTGCCCAAACTTTGGGGAATGAGCTTGACAGACAGAGGACAGGTGTAGGAAATCATCGGAAACCAGACTCCATTTGCATGGCCATTTTGTGGGGTGATCCCGGGGGTTTGCATTCGGATGAGCATGGAAATCGTGAAGTTTAGGGCATGGCCCTGAAAGGGAGACATAGGGATACAATGTTCTGAAGGCCAAACGTGGCGTTTTCAACCAAACCGTTGCGATGTGTTCATCGGAATGCACTATTGAAGAGCAACATGGAGCAAGGTCTTCTCAAAGCAAGAGATCTGAAATGGGGTCGCAAGCTTTTTGAGACAGTCATAGAGGTGCCTATTTGTACAACCGGACGCTCACATCTGATTTAATCCAACTCTTTCGGCCAAGGTGAAGGGTGTCTTGACTGAAGATGAGATCAAAAAAGTAGAGGAGGGGGCTGAAAGTGCAGTGCGGGTGTTTACATCGAGGCGGTACTACATTCTTTTCACATCTGAGTTGGAAGCGCACAGTGGTCCGATCGCTCGCTTCTTACAATTACCCTCAGAGTGACGTGAATGGCATGGCACCTAGCAAGACCCATGAAATCCTCTAGCAAAACAGAAAAACCTCCAGTCCAGTAGGACCCTCCGACCCTCCCACAATCTCTCCTGTCTGCCTTGGCATCTACATTCCATTGTTCTTCCCTAAATGGTGTACTTCGCTCTCCCGAACCCTGCACGCCCCAAAGAAGGCAGCGCCCGAGTTGGCTGCCGCACGAGTTGGGCAGCCTCGGTCGTGGCCTCGGTCGTTGCGCCAGGAGATCCACCAGGCGTTCTTCGCCTGGGAGCACCGTCGCTGGCGCCTGTTGGAGGTGATCCGAGGCCGGAGTGGTGGGGCGGTGCTTGGCGATAGGAGGGATAGGGACATGGGCGGGGTGGAGGGAGGGGTAGGGGGAATTGGGTGGACACTCCTCAAACATTGCGGTCTAACAGGTGAAGAATTGGTGTACTTGAGCATGTCAGAATCTTCAGAATGCTGAGGGAAGACCCGATGGAAGAATATCGTGGAAGCTGTGCAAGCTCCCAGGGATGGAAAGTGAGGGAGTGGAAGACCTTGTGCCCATTTGGGTGCTTAGGTTTGGTGATGGGAACCCTCCCAGTTTAGGTGGTTTGAATAGTACGGGTTGTTCAGTACATGGAAGTGGATGGCTCTGGAATTAATATTTGGGCTGGTGTATCGGGGCAAGTGCGTGACATTGCACAGATAAAAATGGCGGAGTGATCCATTTTGAGGGGATTAGCGAAGGATCAAAAAGATGCGTTCTCAGAGCCAGCCGCTCTTGATTTTAATGCTGATCACTGATGTGTCAATTATTTCCCTCCAGTTCCCTTGATATGTGCCTGTCCTGTTGGAAAAGCCATGGGCTGTAACCAAAAGGATTCTGCTCAGAGGGCCTTGCCATCCACATAACAACGTTGGCTCCACAGAGTCTACAGTCAGTAGCTGTGTCGGATTTCGACTGAAGAAGATGTCCCTTCGCTCACGAGGCATGAAGTGCGACTTGCTTTCTTTGGTGGAGTGCGATCACTACCAGGCGTCACTTCGGTTCTCACACATTGGCAGAGAACTTAAGACTAGGAAACCAAAAGGCTGTGTATTAGTATATGGTATATGATTGTTTATTGTAGCATATCATAAGAGCAATAGAAGTGATGACTGAACATGAATGCAGGATGTAGAGAAACAAGTTCAAGACTGTTTGGACTTCTCTTTTTGTTCATGTTTCGAAGCTCGTTTGTTGGCAAGCACCCAACTGTGCCTAGGGTGGTTGCAATTTTGCCTGCAGTGGTTGCTTTAAATAGAATGTCTCTCCAGACCAGACATTGGCGGGGTTACTGTAGCTGTCAGTAGCCGATCTTTGTTCATTTCATATATAGTCAACTATAGATGTTTTTCCTTGAGGATTGTCGCCTTTAGAATTGAATGGTAAAAGACGATAGAATATTGAACAAAAGGATTTGAACAATGCGCTGCCCTGTTCTATGATCCACTATATCCACTATATCATGAAAGTTTCTGGGGGATCAAGGTAGGAAGCCTGAGTCAAAAACAATTGCTTTCTGAAAGAAATTATGTGATGTTTTTTCAACTTTTGCAGGAGCACTTCAAACCAGCGCTGCAACAGATGCTTGGACTTCACTGAATGTTCCGTGGGTTCTTTGTCCCCCGACATTTCATGGAATTGATTCTTACGGCGGACATGTTTGCAGGGAAGATGGATTTGCTTGAGGCCCCCGTGAGACTTTTTGCTTGCATAGTTAGAAGCAATGCGGCGAGATGTTTGGCACACACGTTGCACAGAGTCAGTTCAGCTGTGTCCATTTTCCAAATCTGATGAGCACACAGAAATTCAGTGCTGGCTACCAGGCTACCATGCTGAGGAGTCCTGTGACACTCCCTCCAATCAAAAAGGGAAGTGGAAACCATCCCATTTGCTATGAGAATATGATTAGTCTTTCGTGGCCAGAGCATCCGCTTCCATTCTTGTAAAGTCGGTCACAACAGAAGAACTTCTCAGCCTATGAGGTGTTACGCCATGGCCGGCGAATCCAAGTGTTCTGTAGGTTTCTTGCCGGGGTGAACCAGATTCACTCATTCTATTGTTTACAAATTTATACTTCCATGTTGATTGAAGAGAGATACCCTCTTCCTCATCTCAGACATGGACCAATTTGAAGGGCTCTCCTCAGGATGGGATATGACTCCATTTGGCGCAAGCGCCCTCGGGCCTCTAGCAGAGATGGATGTTGTGCCGCGTGGCCGAAGTTCGCCTTGAGCATGGGGGCTGGAGGGAAGGAGTTTCTCAGATTTGCATCAACTTTGAGGTTCCCCAAGGGTTGTTTTGATTTGGCTGCGGGTCCAAACCAGGATGGTTAACCTGCGGTTAGGTCGTTCGCTACATGGTGGCTCTGGTCGGACTCTGGGGTGATCCATGACGATCTACCCACATTTCAGGCCAATGGTGTTTTCTTCATGGAAGGCTATAGAGATGTTGCTGTTGATGCATGCAACAGCGAGGACAGCCAAGACTGCTAAGACTGACAGCTTGCCAGCTCTCCAATTCTGGGATGTTCGGTGTAGGATGGGGTGCAAGAGAGGAGAATATGACCTTTGCCGATTTTCGACGGGAATTTGAGGTAGAACTGTGAGATGTACAGGTTGGCCACAACCGATGCTAAATCCAAGCCGCCCAAAGCAAGCCGAAGGGTTGACATATCACAGTCATCACATGTTCACCTCCACGGGGCACTTGTCAGTCGCGTCAGTCGCGCCGTTTTTTTTCGGCAAAGAAGACGACTGCCACAGCTACTGAGGTGGCCTGGCGGACGGATTTGTTCAGATTACTAGCGGAGGAGTGGGGTGTTGTCCTGCGCCGTAGTGAGG